TTGATGGATTTCTGTTTACTGGGTGTTATCAAAGACATCACCCTTCCTCATGGTGCTAATAATGCTTGGGTTTTTTTTAAAGTTAATTCTTTTCAAGTTATTAATTGTCAAACTCAGAACCAAAAGCCACAGAAGAGACTTGTCTGTTTTTTCAACACTGACATCCATCACACGCCGAAATGAAAACACAGACCAAATGAGTTGTCCTCAGCTTGTCTTCTCTCCAAAGACAAATGGCTTAACAACAGTCTTGTGAAGCACAGTAGGAAATCACTAATGTAGGTTGGTTTTAATGTTTCCATGTACACTTTAAAGCATGTTTGGTGCTATAATAACTTTACGTGTATCACTGTGTGCTAGCAAAGCTCGTGGCCTTCCAGATCCTCGAGCGCTGCCGGTGCTGCCAGCGGAGCTGCTCTGCCTTGCAGCAGCCGAGGATCTGTGGCAACCCCAGGCAGACCCTTCCTGGTTTATGCCCCTGGTGCTTAGACATGTAAGGTTCTGTCACTTCGGTGCTCAATAAAAAGTGACCAGTATATTTTTCAACTCTGCCTAGTTTCAGTTGTGTGTTCTTGACATACGCTTGGCTTCGAATTATGAAAAAAAAAAGGACAAATCTTTCAAATGTTAGTTGTTGGGGGAGCTCTGAAAACATAGGCACAGGGAGACGAAAGTAATTTTGTCTACTGGAAGGGAGGTGACAGAGCCCCAAAACACATCTACCACCAGTATTCCCTTTCAGAGGGCCACCTTTGCGGGTCAGATGCTCACTCAGTTCTTGGCCCCTTCATTTCTATTGGCCAAAGAGGAGCTGATGGACAGTACTGTAAAGAGGACAGTGATGGTGACCCGAGTAGGAGGCGACCCTTTGGTTTGAACAGGCATTTTCCCTGTTGATTCAGAGCTGTCGGATGGGTTTCTGCTGCCAGCTCAGGCCGTTTGCACAAGAGGCTGCTGAGACAGCTTTGCAGGAGGCCAAGGCTCACTTGAAGCGTGGAAAAGCAAACCAAGGCAGAGGCCAGCGCTGGGCTGGTGCCTGCTGCAGGATACTGGAGCTGAAAGAGGAGCTTGGAGCTGAGAGGTTGGGCTGCTGAGCACCATGTTTCCAGGAGCAGGCAAGACTTCACCATCACACCAGCTCCACCCACACCGGTCTTGCTCTACCTGCTTGTCAGGAGTGGGCAGTAGTCCTTCTGTATTGCTTCCTTTCTGCCCTGAACCATAACAGAGGTGTCACGGAGGGAGTAACTGCCTGTAATTTAGCCAAGGAGGGGATAGCAGTGAGTTTCATCGCTTTGCAAAGGTTTTCTGTGGGGTTTGAGAAGATGCCAGCTAGATAGCACTAGGTGTCAGGGCCGCTCTTTGGTCTGACACTGAAGTTGCCCTTGGGATCCCTTGGACTTCTCATGGCAATGGTCATATGGCCTGTTTGGATGGGGAGATTATGGGATGTGTGTACATAACTCGTGCCTCCTGCTGTGAAATGTGAGGTGGACTAAGTGCTGTGGCTTTCAAGAGACGGATCTATTTGTTGAACACCGCAAAATTATGTTTTGGTTTCAACCCGTTTCCATGTTAATGCAAGCAAATATAGTTTCTGTTGATGTAACTGGCTGACAATCTTTGTGGAAAAAACATTGTGTGACCTAAGACATCATCTGCAGATGACACTGAAGTGCTGTTGGTGCATCCATGAACCCAACAGCCGGAGCCAACAGAAGAACAAACATAATCTTCAAGAAGTCAAGGCTCTGCATTAAAACCACAGTAAGCAATCTGCAGAAGTTGTAAATTATGAGAATATTTTTTTTTTAATTGCTGTAATTTTGACATGCCTAGTTCAGAGCTCCATTAAGCTTTATGGTGCAGAAGTGTTTTGGTTACCTTTGGGAAGCTTCTCCATAGTTTCATGAGCAGTGAAGAAGCCTACGAGGTTGAGACAATCCATAGAAGAGTCTTTGCAGACTGACAGTTTCTCTTTGCCCACTACATAGAAGGGATTTGTTCATACAGGCAGTTGTTTACTTCTCCCACCTCATGTTGTCTTTGCAGGCTAGATTTTTCTCTGGAGGTGGTGTCAGGTGAACAGGTGTCTGTCTATGGCAAAAGGATTTACAGCATCATTTAGCGTCCTTTAAAGATAGATAAAAAAGACACCTTTTGCTGGTGAGTCTACAGAGGTAAGTCCCATTTCTTCCCATTATTTTCCCCATCTTTTTAACCTTCTGTGTAGACAAAGTAGCAAGAACCACTGGAGAAGCTGTGCAAAGCAAAAAAGACCTTCTGACAGTTTCCAAGATGGAGATGTGGATGGTGGAGCTTATTTCACCCAGCCGGAGCTGTTCCACGAGATTAGTCTCTCAATTTAAGCAGTGGAGACTGTGCAAGCAGAAACCAAGAGATTTAATTAAATTCCCCTTCCTTCCTGGGGACACACGTAGGGACAGACCTAAGGATTTTACCTGGCCTTTATCAGTAGCATTGACAAGATGGAAAGGATCCATGGCCCAAAAATTTGTTCTTTGCTCTTGCAACCAGGAGCAGTGGATGTTTGGCCCAAGGGCCTGGGAAAAACACGACCTGAAAGCAGAATATCTGGGGTTTTGGGTAGCAGTAAACTCAGTGAATTCGACCCATGCACCAGAGGTTTTTTCCCTCAAGGTGGCACAAGAGGAACAAAAGTGTGACAAGCCCCGGTTACAGTGAGGGAAGCAGATGAAGGAGCTGTGAGGTTTGAGCTGAAAGCAGCACCCTGTCATCGCAGCGCCAACCTTTCGGACTGACATAGTCTCAGATTGCAGCTGCTTTGCTGTATGTGTCTTCATAACAGGTATTTTCTATTTTTTTTTAAAAAAAAAAAGATTTCCCAAATAGCCTGCTTAGAACTGGAGTCGGACCCTGAGCTTTGTTATCCGATCAGATAGGAAATACTATAAGGGTACTGTAATAGGGCTGTGAGTTATGTTTTATAGCGTCAAAAATTATGTCTTATACCAGAATGAAGAGATACAACTTGTATTAGTGTTGTCTTCTTTACATGATAGTCTTTATTCAGTTTATTCCCAGCACTTTCTGAGCTATGAAATAGCAAAATACATGAATTTTCCATTAGATTTCCTAACAGGCAGAAATCAAAAGCAGCACTTGGGATGTGGTGTCGTGGCCCCTCTCCACATCGCACAGACTCTGCATTTGGTTCTCCTCTGGATTGTGTACACAGCACCGAGCTACATGTGTTTCCACAAGCAGCAGTTTTTTGCCAAGAGGAGGAAGTTAAATAAGGAAAGAGTCAGCGAGAGCCTGTTGCTCAATTAGCCGTATTGTCAGTGGCGCTTGGCTAACGCGAGCCACGCTGGGGACTGCACAGGCCACGCACACATTGTGCCCGGCAGAGCCCGGCTTCACTGGTAGTGGGTGAGGTTTGAGGGATGAAAAAAGCAAGAACAAAACCAGAGAAATTTTTTTTTTCCTACCTACCTAGAGAGGAGGAAGATGTTTTTCACTTTTCTATCAGAGACACGAGGAACATTCAGTATGATCCCAAGGCTGTGACTACTACGAACGCACTTGGATGAACAGAGGAATGTATTCCCAAAGCAGCACCTGCTTTGCCTTATCAGCACGTGGCAGAGCCAGCTGGCTGTGCTCCAGAGCCTTACAAAAGCCACCGAAGGAGGGGAACGGTTCGAAAGCGTGTGTGAGCTCAGAGATGTTTTGCCGCCTAATTCCCATACATTTCGATAAGGTCTAAATCTCTTTATGCCTCTGGGAGCTTGGGCTGCCTTCGAGCCCTGGCTAAGCACCTTATCTAAACCCTGGGCAGGGCCTGGATGTGAGCTGCCTGAAAATCAGTGCCCAGCATTATCCCTGGATATTTTCCCATGGGAAGGAGGGGTGTTGCAGCGATGCAGGAACTTCCTTCATCTGCCTGACGCATCCAGTTTGGGTCATTAAGAAAGTGTTTCTCAATCAGGAGCTGAGGGAGTTAGGAAGCCCCAGCTGTGTTTTACAAGAACTTGGCTATTTGCAGGGTGTTTCCCAATCGTTTCCTTTTTTCCTCAGCCTGGAAAGAAGCCCTCCCTCCACACCACTTCAGTGAGACACGGTGTGTTATCCGTAGCTGCTTGCTACACGGTGCTGGTGGTGTCCCACAGGGCTCATCAGCTTTTGCTAGAGCTGGTGGGACCTGGCAGATGCAAATAAGCAACACTGAAACGCTCCATGGCAAAACACCAGTTTGATGGAAGTTGGCCAGGTTTTGGATATTGTCACACAGGCGAGAGTCTGGGGTCTTGGCCCCATCATGGTCCTGGTGTCACCACCTCCACTTCTCCAGAGCTGTGAAGCTGACACCTGGATGCCCTAGAAGAAAACTATTCTCCTGCAGAAAATTGCACATATGTTTTTTTTCTGTCTGAGAATGACATTTATTCCCTCAATGCAATTTTTACTGTCAAAGGAGGATCGTAATCTCACAGTTACACCTCAGAGACAATTTAAGCCTAAGTGAATCCTGGAGTCATGATGCTTGGGGGAGGTTGTAGATGTCCTGGTACAAACTGGAGCATGATGCTCCCTGACAGGCGGCCATAAATCTTCAGAAAAGATGTAACTGCTTAACTTCAGCCATATGTTGAGATCCACCATGAAAGCACTCCCCTCTAGCGAATGAAAGACTGCATTGTTTCCATAAATGAGCGTCATAAATTCACACATCACGCATTTATGCCATCTCCCTGATGTAAATACTTATAAATACTGGCATTATGCTGACTGAAGCATTTCTCAAGGAGGATTTCCCCAGCCTGGAAGTTTACAAACAGGCTCAGCAGTGTGTGTAACCTGTCCTGCCTCTGCACGCAGCGGCCTTGGCAAAACAACCTCCCTATCTGCCTGCCCGAGATGTGGCACCCGCCGACGCTCCTCCCGCAACAATTTTTCAGAGGGCGGAGGAAAAGATAGAGCTGCCAGACCTCAACCTGCTCTTCGGGTGCCGGCCATGCACGCACGTAGGGCCACCTCAGTCCTCTCTCAGCCACAGTCTTAAACACCGAGAGGCTTCTCCTGGCAGGGTTTTAGGGGCGAAGCACCCTGCGTTGCTGCTGGAAGGGCGCGCAGCCTCCCTCCGGCACCTGCGGCCGAAGGCGTGACTTGGCGGCAGGTGAAGGCTGCCTCTCCCTGCCTGTAACCATAGCCCCGTGCTTGCTGGGGAATTCGAGCCAGTGCTGCCAGCAGCAGCGGGTGGCACCATCCCGGTGGCTCCCGGGGCGCTTCCCACCACTGCACAGTGAAGATGGTAGAAGGAGGTTTCGCCAAACTCTTCCAGAAAAAGTCGTTTTTCCGCTTCGTGCAGAAATATCAGCCCCTTGGAAGCGGCGAGCCGGAAGAGGAGGTGAGGATTGCCTGTGCCTCTTGCCTGGACCTGCTGAAATAGTTTGTGTAATTGGGGTTAATTTTGTCTACTTTGTCTGCTTTGTCCCACCGGTAACTTGATATTGCTGCCGCTGCGCTCTCCGCTCTCTGCTCTGAGCCGTTCCCTGTACAACAGGGGACGAGATTAATGATGTTTACCAGGCAGCGGGGTGAGATGGGGATACTTGTTTCTCTGTGATACTCCCAGGACATATAGCTCAGGCCAAAGTCCTGGCCAGAAACATTCTTCTTTGCACTGAGGAGGTTCAAAACTAACGAAATGCGTAGGAGGGTGACTGCCGTGCGGGCCCTAGGTGCTGTGTGAGGCTTTCTGGAGTGCTCACACAAAATGCAAACACTGTCTTGTCTCAGCAGAGGGTAACTGAAGAGCGAGGCTGAGCCTGTCCCCAGGGGTAAGCCCTGCCACCAGTGCAGGTCACTGGTGGATGGGCTGTGACCCCTCGGGCTGTCCTCTGGGCTGTTCCTGCAGTCATGACTAGAGATTTAGCTCAGACCTGCAAAGCCCGCTTCAAAATAATGCTTTCTTTTCTTGGAAAATCTTGGTGTATGAACACTGATTTCCCTTTCCCTGCTTTCACTGCCTTCCCTCAGTGCAGATGGACCAAAAAGTGGCCAGTGGTAGTTTAGGTGACACATTTGCTGTTCTTGTTTTTTCCCCACAAAACCTTCAGGTCTGGGATTATTTTATTATCAAGTTTGCTCAGCACAGGGATTTCCATTGCTCAAGCCCCATTTTTTTCTCCCACATGACAGATTGGTTGGGTGCCCTCCCACGTAAACCTGATTTGTGTAATTCCTTCAGCATATGGGGCTAGCCCTTAGTCCCATCCCAACAAGCACCATCCACACACTTCAAGATCTTCATGTTCTTTTCTGTGACTGTCTGACTGAGGTCTTTTCTCAGATGTCATTTCAGCTAATCCTCTGCTCTCTGCTGAGTCTTGTCTTTCCAGTATGGGGGTTGGTCAGTGCTACAGGGAGAAGAAAACAAGGTATTGAACTCTTACCCTATGCACCACACAGCGCGTTGTGCGATGCTGCTCTACACTACTTAAACACAGCTCAAAATACCAGAAAAGGAAGATCTTGAGGTTACAGAAAGTATCTGGAATCTCACTTTGATTTTTTTCTGATCGTACATAGGCAGGAGGCCACTGGCACATGGTCTGGCTTGTTCCTTGGTAGTACCGTTTCTGTTGTGCCAAAATAAATAATGATACATATTTGCTTCCAAATATAAACCCTTCTTGAATTCTAACTCTAGTCCATGCAGAGTGTGATACATTTATAACAGGACAGGGAAATGGTGTTTTGGTGCAGGCCTAGGGATTAGGCAGCAATGTGAAAGGACAACAAGAACTTGACAATCAATAACGTATTCTCAGGTTATGATTTAGGCTGGTAAATGACTCACATTTCCTCTAAGGGGAAAGTATTTTGCTTCTTTACTTGAAAATAGTTGCAGAGCGCTTTCAGTCTTAACAGATCTTACGTATTTTGGTCAAAGGGTTGTCCTGGGCCTTAAAGATGTGAGTCCAGGTGACCTGATGAGACTCAAACCAGGATAAATACACAAATTGTGGGTTGTGAAGAAAAAGCCCGAGCACTGGTAACTCCGAGGTGGTGGTGATGGTGTTATCTGAAGAGGGCAGAACAGTTAACTTGCGCATCAAAGCACAAGCACAGCCTGTGTCTAGACTCTGCTGTATAGTTTCAACTCTTTCTCTACACTGGCCCATTCAGAATCACCAGGAATTTTTGTGGTGCCAGTTTGCAGTTTACGAGAACCGTGTGTTTCCTGCAGAAATCTGAAGAACAACCACAGAATTTTCTTCTGATCATCCAAGTGTGTGTGTATGTGCGCACGTGCGCAAGCACACGTACCTCTGTGTGTATGTGTGTTGGCAAGTGAGAGAAAAATCTGTGCACTGCATGGGTTGTGTCGCCTTTTCCCTTTGACCACGTCCCAGGGTCACGCCTGTAGCACCCAGTGAACCCCATGGCTACAGTCAGGGGCAGATTTCCCCAAGGGCTGCAGCCCTCTGCTCCCAGTATTTTTTAACCTGAAGAGGTGGGTGGGTTTTGTAACGCTGTCCAGGGCAACCTGTCCATCTCTGCTCTATGGGGTGACCTCCATTCCCACACACGGTGCCACTGGGAGAAGAGTTTGGCATGGTGATCTACTGAAAATCCACTGGGCACCTGCTGTGATTTAGGGGCTTTTTCTCTTGTTCGCTTTAGAAGGAGCTGGCTCCTACCTGAGGCACATCCCGGTCATAGATTTTAGTTCATCAAGATCTTCTTCAGAGCTACTAGGACCTTTCCTTTGCAATTGTTCCATTTCTCCTCACCAGAGCCCCTTTTGACCCTTCCCCCCCATAACACCTGATCCATTCAAGATTCAGTAACCATGAGATGGAGCACAAGTGTTTCCCAGCCCTGTCCTACATTCAGGGCTAAATCAACATTCCAGTTTGAGTTGATTTTTTTTTTTTCATGTCAGGTTTCACACCAATGAACATTTATTTCCTGGAGAGTTTCACAGGCTCCATATCCTCCTAGATATACAGAACATCCTGATCAGAATAGCTTTATTATCACACAGGTAGCTATTCTTTCCATGTACCCTCAAAATAAAACCAAACGGTGCAGCTTCTCTTCTAGAGGAAAAAAGGGAGACCATGGGATTGCCTCAGCACAGCAGTGACACAGACCTCACTTACACATGTGTTTTCAGTCCCTTAGTCACACCTAATTTCTGGCATCTGAAAAACTTCCAGCAGACATGGAGTTAACTCTCACCCTCCAGCTCCCACAGGTTTTTTGACTGAGGACTGCAGCATCTCCCTTCCAGGAGACCTTATATATGAAGTTGCCTTAAACTCTTGAGTTTTGGGGGTTTTTTTTGGCCTCTGTGGGCGTGTTTTAGGTGAGAGAGGAGGCTCCCCCACTGAGATCTGTGGAGCTGCAGGTTTTCCTGCAGCAATAGCAATGTCATCTTGTGGCTCAAGGGACTTTGCTTTAAATTAAAGAGAGCTTGAAGATTTTAATTTTTTTTTTAATTAAGAGGGGAAAAAAAAAAAAAAAGACCAGGTTTGCAGGAGCAAGGGAGCAGTGGGGTGAGGGGAGTGGGATTTGCAGCTGGTGGCAATGAGCCCAGGGTTTGGGCACTGCCCACCCAGTCTGAGTCAGCCCTCCCATACACCTGAGGCAATTTAAAATCCAAGGAATAGTTTTAAAGCAGCTTTTCTGGAAAACCCTTGGCTCTTTTGAACAATCAAGGTGTCTATTTTGAGGTTTGTATGTGGAAGAAGGGATGCCGGAAGCTTTATTTCATGTGGAAATCTGCAATTCTGCGATAGCTGTGCAATGGGGGAGTGAGAAACCGTGTTTGAGAGGAGCTGAAACCCCTGAGGTGGGTGGGAATGGGCTGGGGGCTCGGATGTGGAAGCCCAGCGAGGTAGCCACTCACTTGCAGGGCTGGGGTTTGCTCGGGGTTGGTTTCTGCATGCTGCCTGCACCCCTGAAACGCAGGTCCTCTGCCTGCCACGTGCACCAAAAAAAAACAAAGCAAAGGGCTTTTGAGGGAAGGGTTTGATTTATTTCTTTTAGCAGGGTGAAGAATATATAAGAAGAGGGTTCCTGCTTAATGTTTTAAAGGGCTTCTTATTAGACTAAATAACTCAGCCCACTTTTGTCTGTATTACAGTACATTAGCTGGTCCAAAATAATCTAAAACGGACGGGAAGAGAATATGCAAAACTTCAGTAAAGGCAGAGGTGGGGGGAAATCCCAAGAACTGATCTTTTGGGCTCTTTGCCAGAGTATACAGAGAGGGCTACGCACTCTGCAGAAAGCCCCATGCTTCCTTCCTTCCCGCGTGGGCTGCTCAGTGCAACAATTGATGGGTTGTTTCGGGGCGAGGGATGCGGAGGAGCGGTGCAGGTACCTGCAGCACCGGGCACGCTCCGAGGTGCGCTGGGGCAGGCTGCTGCACGGCTCCCCGCCACGACCAGCAGCTCTTTACAGCCTCCAGTATCTCCTAGTCTCGCAAAGCAATAGATAAACTAATAATTATTTCTTTTACTTCTTTCTGCCCTGTTCTTTGGAGTCATGTACTCTTGTGCTTGAGTTATGCCTAAAGGATAAAGGTTGAAAATGTAAATGGATAATGTTGATAGCCAACATTTGGTTTACAATGTAAATAGAAGAGTAATGTACAAAGAGAGGTTCATATATGAAGGGATTTGCTCAGGACGCTGCCTGGTGCCCAACAGACATGGGGTGGGATGCATTTAGGGGCAAAAGGGCTCTGCACCGGCAGCATTTTGCAGAGGAGGAGGGAGATGGGGCTCCACTGATGTATTTCCAACTTGTGCATTGCTGGGGCTGCTCAGCTGGTAGGAAAAGCTGTGCCACGTTTGTCTAGGGGAAATCACTTACAGGCGTAAGCTAATCAATGCAAATTAACTCATCCCAATAAAGCTGTTCATTTCACAACAGCCCCTGGTGGAAGAGGCACGGGGCTGCCAGTGTTTCTATTGATTGGCAGCCAGCGCTGGCTGTGCAGGGCTCCGACACATCCCCACGCCATGTGCTTTTGTCATTTATTTCCTCCACACCTTTTTCAAAGGTAAATACTGGTGATAGAGCTGGGCCATGGTTTCCCTGCTGGCACTGGGGGAACCATAGGCATGTTACCCTCGTGCCTGGGTCTTTTCTGGCCTTCCAGCTCCTTTAATTAAAATTTAAACTCCTTCGAGTCAAGGCTTGATACCTGCATGTGCCATGGGCAGCACAGAGGGGCCTGTAGACACCACATTAATCAAATCAGCACATGATTGATGATGAACATGAGGTGTCTATGTGTGACAGCTGTGTGTTTTCTTCTAACCAGTCCTTCCATCTCCTTAGATGCATGGGTGGCTTTCGGTCTTGCAGCATTTGGGTGTCAACAAAGGTTCAGGGAACTGATGAATTTGCACAAGTAGGAATAAATCATCAGCTTTAAACATGGAAGGACTTTTTTGTCCCTTCTAGGGATGTCTGTTAAGGGAATGTTGAAATAAGGGTAATGTCCAGTGCTACGATGCCTCAAAATAATGGAGAAATACTGCAGCTTCTTTGGGCAGAATGTGGTCACCAGCATGAGGGAAACATGGAAGCAGGAAAATCCTTGGAAATCTTGGGCAAATTCCTGGGGTTTTAGAAAGACAGGTTGTTCCTGGGGCAAAATGGCTTCTACTAAACAGACCAAGGGATCACAGCAAACTCTCCTCTGATTCCGCCAGGAGCAAGTCAGTGCTGGTATCTCCTGTGTTTGTGGCTGTACTGTGGGTCAGTAAACAGAGATAAAAAGGGGGCTGCAACATATGGAAGTGGGAAAAAACCTTTTTAAGAAGCAGGGCTTAGAGATGTTCCTATCTCATCTGCTGTGAGCTCTCCAGAAGCCAATTCTGTGTACCAGCATGAGCTAACAGCCAAAGAGATTTTCTGCATTTATCTCAAGCTCTAGATTGCAAAACACTGGGTGTCCCTAGAAACCTGAATATTCATAGATGGGCCAATTCTCCAAATTCCACTTCAGGAAGCCCTGAAGTCCTTCAAGCACTTGCTCAGGTGCTGCTATGAGCTGGACCTGAACCTTTCCCTCAGCAAACACTCCAGTGTGCTGGTAGCAGGGAGCTGGTGCCAAATTCCTCCTGCCCTGCCGAGCAAGAGCCTGCTGCGGGACCGAGCACCACGCTCTCTCGGGATCCCTCTCATAATGAACATTTGTGCTTTATGAATGAAGGTAAATGGAAATGGATTTTCCTGTCCCATGGGAAGGGTGAGATTTCTCCCTCTCCATACTTACCCTGCAATAGCAGTCACACCGCCACCGTCATGTGTCTGGCTGAGATTTCAGGGGATGCTGCTGCTCTGGAAAGAGCCTTTTGGAAAAGGAGACAAGGGATCGTGAAAGGGAATAGAGGTCAGGGTGCTGGGAGCTCAGTGCAACCCTCAGGCAGCCTGGATGGAGCGGGGAGGGTTTGTCCTGCTCAGAGGTGTTTGCAGAGCCAGTGGTGAAGGAAAAGAGCTGTGGAGATGGAGAAACATTTACTTTCTCCTGCTGGCTCAGAGATTTTTCTGTCTCATGTTTGCTGTTCATTTATTATGTCTTTAACAAGGGAAAATAGGTTTTTTCCTTGCTCTGAGCATTGAGTGTGCAATGGGCTGTGAGACACTGGCATGGAAAAATACTCACCTTGGGCAGGATACCTGCAAAGAGCAGAGCCTGGCATGCTTTTCTGGCCACAGTGGGGGTGTGGGTTTGTCTTTTTGGTAATCCAGCTCCTAATTCCACTTCAAGAATGTGCACCTGCCTTGGAGGCTGTAATAAGGATTAATTAGTGAATGGTATAGAGTGCTGTGATTTAGAAAGTGTTTTAGCTAACTGTGAAGTCACACAGCTGGCAAAGTGAGGGAAGGGAATGGGATTAAGATGCAAAGAGATGCTGAAATGATTTTATGAACTCTGCTCTCACCTAACAATTGCTTTCTCTCGTTTGCTCAGACCCATGAGGAGTGTGAGCTGAAAATAATCGAGCAGGAGAAGGAGGTGACAGTTCTGCCCCCGAAGGACGCATGTAAATGCCATAAAGAAGACTTGGCAAAAGCTTTAAATGTAAGGGTTTTTACAGGTCTTTGTGAACATAGCAATGCAGTCCGTGTAATGTGACTGTGGGAAGAGACTGAGAAGCAAAATTGGTCTTTGGTTTCACATGCAGACTCCTGGAGTGCCCAATTCCTCTGCCTTTACATGGGACAAATCCTCACGTTGGCTACGTTCAAGGCTCAGCGTTGGGCATTCGTGCTTCACTTTGTCCCAGGGTAGGACTTCACTGAAGTGAGCAGCTCTGTGAGCTGCAGGTGAAAGAGTCCACAGAGCTCTGCCGGGGTTGGCACAGGGTGCACAGCTCAGCCACCCTAGTTATCAGCAGCTCCTTGGAAAAGTGGTGTGTAAGTGCAAGCAGCACTTTTTCCCTGCTTTTTGTAGCAGACTTCATTTCAGAGGCAAAACTCATCACATTTATAGTCCTAGATGACTTCTCGAAGGCTTGCTCGCAGCTTGAATTGTTAGATAAAAAATCACCTCGCCATCCCCACCCCAAGCAAAGAGCAAAGCTGTAGCCATCGCCTGGGTCGGCTCATGCTGGGACCCATTTGCCCACGCGGAGCGGGGGGATCAGCCCTGGCAGGGATGTTTGTGGTGGTAGGATGGGCCACTCTGCCCCAGCCCCACTCCTTCCCCACAGCTGCAGAACAGAGTAGCCGGAGGGATGGAGGGACACTGGGGCTCAGGAAGGAAACTCCAGTTACTTGGTTTGCACTGGAGTTGACCCTTGGGAAGAGAAACAGTCTCATTTTATAACTCATGCTTAATCCCACCTGTGAAAAACAGATGGAAATTTAGAAAGGCTAAATCCCCACAGCCAGGGAAAGCTATAATGTTTACCAATATTTTGATGTCTGACCTTACTGTTTTTTAAAATCTGGGCGAGATACATTTTCTCCATTTGTTCTCTTTGAATTTTATCAGGGTATTTTTATTTTTCCTTTAAATATACAGTGAAACCAGAAATCAATTCTTTCCTTTACTACTTCAGATTTCTCATTTGTCATCTATTATATTCTTTCTCACATGTGGAAGTTTTTTTAAAAATAACTTGTGTTTACTTTATGGCTTTCTGTGATAGTTGGTGGTAAAGTTTTTTAGTTTAACAAATATAAATACCTAACCAGAAAAACAGTAGATAGATTTATCTTTTTTGTGGGGGACTGAACCATGAACATTTTGTCCAGTGTACTTACAGGTTTTTAACAGAAATTTGCCTTAAGAAGTTTTCTGTAACTATTCTACAATATATAATGTTTGTTTGGTTGGTTGTTTAAAATTTCCCTCTAGGTTGACTTACAAACTGGACTCTCTGAGTTTTCTGTGCTACAGCGCAGATTAAAACATGGCTGGAATGAATTTTCAGTAGAGAATCCAGAACCGATATGGAAGAAATATCTAGACCAGGTAAGGATTTTCTGCAGATTCTCATTTCTTGGCAAAAACTCCTGGTTTGGTTGGTCTGAGCGTGTTTCTACACTGAAATATTCAGGGTTTCCACCTCCACAGATCCAGCCTGGGAACAGGCGATTCCCCAGATACAGAAACTGTCTGTTTCCTCAGGAAAGCCATTGTGAGATTCAGATGGGGGGTCATTTAATATGAACAAAAAAAAAAATCTTAAATATTTTTATCTCCACACAGCCCACAAATCAAAAGACAGATCAGTGACCTGATTTCTGGAGCATGTTTATTCATAGAATCATAGAATGGTTTGGGTTGGAAAGGACCTTAAAGACCATCTAGTCCCAACCCCCTGCCCTGGGCAGGGCCACCTTCCACTAGCCCAGGTTGCCCAAAGCCCCGTCCAACCTGGCCTTGAACCCTGCCAGGGAGGGGGCAGCCACAGCTGCTCTGGGCAACCTCTGCCAGGGCCTCACCACCCTCACAGGGAAGAATTTCTTCCTTGTATCTAATCTAAATCTACTCTCTTTCAGTTTAAAACCGTTACCCCTTGTCCTATTACAACAGGCTCTGCTAAAAAGTTTGTCCCCATCTTTCCTGTAGCCCCTTTCAGCCCTGGGAGGCCACTCCTAGGTCTCCCCAGAGCCTTCTCTTCTCCAGCTGAACCCCCCAACTCTCTCAGCCTGTCCTCACAGGGGGTGCTCCAGCCCCCCGAGCATCTCTGTGACCTCCTCTGGCCCTGCTTGAGCAGGTTTGTGTCCTTCTGCTGTTGGTGCCCCAGAGCTGGACCCAGCCCTGCAGGGGGGTCTCATGAGAGTGGAGTACAGGGCGAGAATCCCCCCCTCGCCCTGCTGCCCACCCTGCTCTGGGTGCAGCCCAGGACACGGTTGGCTTTCTGGGCTGTAAGCGCCCACTGCTGGCTCACAGTCAGTTTTCCATCCACTAATACCCCCGAGGTCCTTATCCTCAGAGCTTCTCTTAACCTACTCATTGCCCAGCCTGTATTTGTGCTTGGGATTGACGCAACCCATGTGCAGGACCTTGCCCTTGACTTTATTGAACTTCATTCCCTTTAAGGCAAGTGATAAAATCATGAAAGTGTTGAGGAAAGCCAGTCGTAGCTGAAAGCCATTCTGATTTCAGTTACCCCAGTGAAGAAAAGCCCTAAACCTCCAGCAAAAGCAGAGACAATTGTAGAGCTCAAGTGAGAGTTAATGTCTCTGTTGCCAGTAAGGGATACGTCCATTCATGGTGCCATGTGCTGTGAAGAGCCACGATTTCCAACCAGATGCCCCAAAGAGTCAGACAGAAGGTGGTATTTGCTATCTTGGTTTTCCCCACTGAGTTATCCCTGAGTTTTGCTTTTATTGACTGGTTCTCATCAGTATTTAATGCGTCGTTCACTTCTCTTTTAGAACTCTTTAATTTTTTAAATTTTCAACCAGCAATTTAACTGATTTTCTTCTCGCTCAGCTGAATCATGAAGATTTTAGTTGCTTTGAAAGACTTTTATGGATTATCTTTTTTTACCTATGTGATCAATATTCTTTAAGCACTTTGTAATCATCACTAAGTCTCTTCGAGGATTCTTTTATTCATCATAAAAAGTGAGATTGTGCTTTTTTTTGTCTGCTCGTTCTTAACAAGCTGTTTCTACTATGGGGACACCAAACAAACTATTTAGTGTATCTCTGAACCCTCCATAACCTGTCATTCTCTCTGGAAGAGCTGCTTGCTGTCCCACACCATTCATTCCTCTGCACTTGAGCACAGTCCTTCAGCGGACACTTGACATGGCTTCTTCCAGCTGCTGTTTTTGTAAAACATCCCCTTTGGCCCGGTCTTTCTACTGAGAAACAAAAGGGACTTTCACCTTTGGCTTCATCAGGAAATAAATTTAATCCTTTTCTTTCCTACCATGCATTGCCACACTCCTGTTACCCAAAACAGTCAGTCTTGTCTTTGCCTGACTTAATTCCCTTATATCAACCCCCACATTAGCTAAACAGAGCTGTAACTTTCTCAGGTAGGAGTAAAGTCCATAAAATCTGTGCTTAAAAGTGAAAAAAAGTGAGGATCTGATTCCTGCAGCCCTGGGTACAGCACAGAGTTTAGCACATTAATTAAATTTAAAAAAAAAAAAAAGAGGATTTTTGGTTTCAAATTCTAAAAAGACAATAAAGTTTTTGTTTGTACCTATTTTGCCTCCCAGGAGCTTTTAGAGTCAGCGCTACGCTGTATGCCTGCAAAGGCAAGCCTTGCCTGTGCCAGCAGGGGAAAAGAGAAAAAACTCATGTCTTTTGGCATCAGCCTTGTCCTGCTGGTCCCTGACACCGTCCATCTCCTGTATGGGGACAGGACCCGGCACCAGCCCGACCACAGGTGCTGCACCCTCCTTGTCCAGGCAGCGTGATGGTGCTATCATGAGCAAGGAGGGTCCCTGCAGCAAAACCATCATGTCCGAGGAGATCTGAAACCAGCTCAGCTTCAGCAACTCCATTTTATATTGCAATTTGCTTTTTCTTTTTTTTTTTTTCAGTTTAAAAATCCCCTCATTCTCTTGTTGCTGGCTTCCGCTTTAGTAAGTGTCATCACAAAAGAATACGAGGACGCTGCAAGCATCGCCATGGTACGTGGTACCTCTCCTGCAACCCAGCCCTTTATTCTCTGAGGCTGGTGTGCCCACTCCTCTAATGCCTCTTTCTTCACAGGCAGTGCTCATCGTGGTCACCGTGGCCTTCATCCAGGTATGTCACCCGGAGCTCAGCTCCGCGCCTGGGTCTCTCGTGAGCGAGCCCTCTCGTGTAACTTGGTTTTCTTCTCCTTTCTCATTTAAAAGGAATATCGCTCAGAAAAATCTCTGGAAGAACTTAACAAGCTGGTGCCTCCTGAGTGCAACTGGTGAGGAATGCCTGCTTCAGTGGGGTTTAGCAGGGTTTGAGTTATGAGGGCAGAACCGAGGGCTGAAGAAAATTACTTCTGGTTGTCATGCACGTAATGAGAACCTGCTGTCCAGAGGGGTGGCACCACGCCTGGGTGCAGCTGTAAGGCACACTGAAAGGGGTTGAAATAACTCTGAATTTTAAAGTAGGCACCCAGAGGAATTGAATAAATGCTGAGAGACAGAAGGGTCACAGAAATGTCCTGCTCTGCACCCTGCAGGAAGGTCCCTGCAGCCTCTTTTATGTTGCTGACTCCCTGTGCAGGGAAAACCTCACTTGCGTATGTTTTTGGCTTTAGGGTAGTTTTGTCCCTGGGAAATTGGCACAAAATGGCTTATGAGTGGAGGTGTGTGCAGGCTAGGTATCCTCACCCACGCCTGCCCATTGCTGTCCGTACACGCTGGGCACGGGCACACCAGGCACTTCGGTGCAGATTGGTCACAGCATCGCCTGTGGAGCAGCTGTAGGGTGTATCATCCCACTTCCCTGACTGCTTTGAAGTTTAGTACCAGTGCTTTAGATTACAGGAAACACTTTTCCTATTTATGTCTTTGCAAATCAGCTTTGTCACGGCCAATGTAAATAAACTGTGAGGCTCAGAGAAACCTTGCACTGCTAAAGAAGTGTGGGGTTTTCTTCTGGTCCAAAGTTCACCCAGGTTTGGATCTTACAAATGCCACTGTTCTTTATTTGTTTATGGTATGACACCATAACCACTTGAAAGGATGTACTTTTAATGCAATGGTGAAATGCCAGTGGTAATTCTAGCTTTAAAAAGCTTCTTTTTAGGTTAAAGAATCTGCGTTTCATTATTTAAAGTGAGCCATGGGAAAGCACACCTTGTCACTCCCATCTACTGTATAACTACTGTTGAAGTCACTTATTTATGAAATGTAAGTCTTCCATAACCTGCCCACCTGTTTATGAATTAAAACTGAGCCCAAACTAAACATAATCATTTCTCCTCATCGTTATGAAGATTTTAGGCTCTTATTCACATTGGAAGCTCTTTTGGTCAGGGATCTTGCTTTCTTGCCAGTCACATTCCCAGACCTGCGGGAGGAATAAAAACCTCACAGCCTGGTTTCCTTTCTTCTTTTTCCATTTGTCTCATGTAGCCTAAGGGAAGGAAAACTCCAGCATCTTCTAGCGCGAGAGCTTGTGCCTGGAGATATCATATATCTGTCTGTTGGTGACAGGGTTCCTGCAGACCTCAGGCTGATAGAGGTAAATACAGCTATAAATACGAGAGCCTGCTTGGAAATGTTTTGTCTTAACAGTGCCAGAAATGTGTCTGTTTAATTAGGTTACAGATCTGCTGGTGGATGAATCCAGTTTTACTGGAGAGGCTGAGCCTTGCAACAAGACTGACAGTGTATTAGTGGAAGCTGGAGACATAACCACGCTGAGCAATGTTGTTTTCATGGGGACCCTGGTGCGGTATGGAAAGGGAAAAGTGAGTCCTCTCATCTTTGGTCTTGACATTGGTTACAGAATCTCTAGATTTTTTTAATCTTTGTCTCTCTTTTTTTTCCTTTTTTTTTCAGGGTGTAGTTATTGGGACGGGTGAAAATTCGCAGTTTGGAGAAGTGTTCAAAATGATGCAAGCTGAAGAGGTAAAGCAGTCGATGTCTGTGGAAATGGTGGATGTCCTGGGTGAAAGTTTGTGAGCAGGAGTGGTTCCAAGATCTAATGCACTGGGTTCATTTCTGTTTCTGCTACAAAGTGCTTGTGTGACTGAGGGATGACAAAGTGCTGTATCCAAAAAAAGAAGGCTATAAGCAGGATTTAGGCTTCTAAATCCAGACTTTTGATATTTAGCTTGTATCTAACCTTGTAGTCAGCTAAACCTCATGGTTTCTTCTTTTTTTATTTCACACACACGCACACCTTCCACTAGGTCTATAAATTTTTTGCTTCCACACATGCCAAAATTTTGTGGGCCAGATCTCTGAACTAACACAGATGAGTCTCTGTAAACTAGTTAACTCTTGATCCATTAACACAAGAGATCACAGGACAGCAGAAGCAGCCACTATGGGAGGTGTTGTGATGCATCTGCAGAGCTAGTACAGGTCTGTGATGCTCTGCAGTGCTTAAAAGTGCTGCTGCAGAATAGGAGCTCAGGTCTGGTGCCCTCCTTGGCCTGAAACTCAGACTTCCCAAACCCTACCACCCTCCAGGGTCCATCCTACGTGTCAGGTCAGGGTTGCTCTGAGCTGGTTCAGTGGAGGAGAAGGATCATAGAAAGGCTGTGACCCTGGTCTGGATTGGAGAGCACAGACCATGAGGATGGAGGTTCAGGCTTTTTATCCCTGTATGGAGGCTTTGCATGCACATTATCCAGTCCTGGAGTCAATCACTAAGGTCCTCTCCAGATTTAGCCCTTAGCATGTCCCTAGTCTGTCCCTACCTTATCTCCCCAGCTGTAAACAAATGTAATTCATCTCTTCTCCCACTATTTTGCCTGTCTTGAGTGCATTGAGGCAGAGACTCTCTCCCTGCAGGACAGTCTGTGCCCAGCAGACCCCGTTGGGGGTTTGGGGTGGGTAAGCACTAGGGTAGAGCAGGCAGCTGTAGGGACCACTGCAGGCTGTGTGAGTCAGTCATTCTGGGCTGACCATCATTTCATCTCATAAAACAAGCAAAGAAACCCACCTATTCTCTAATGTTTCCAGACTCCCAAAACACCTCTCCAGAAAAGCATGGACAGACTGGGGAAGCAACTCACTCTTTTCTCCTTTGGCATAATTGGTGAGTTGGACGCAATGCCTGTACTTGCATGGTCAGCTGTGAAAGCCCTCTGTGCTCCAGGGCCACTTTTTCCAAAAGTACTTGTTGATGTGGGTTACCTGGGCTTTGGGGATTCAAGCAGAGACATCTCTGAATGAGAGACCCGGGGGCCTCATTTCATAGTCAGTTCTCTAACAACAGATAAACGGGTTAGAGGTTTATTAATTTCTTGAAGTTTTATAATCGGATGGTTTTCTCCCACCAGGTTTGATAATGCTCATTGGCTGGTTACAAGGGAAGCATCTCCTCAGCATGTTCACAATTGGAGTTAGGTGAGGACTGGAGAGCACCTTTCTCTTTGTTTTCTAATGAAACCTGTCACAGGGAATTCCCTGTTCAAAACAACGGACATTTCACAAAAGAGAACTTACGTAAGACCCTTCATAAATATCTATTGATCTTGTACCGGTGAAATTAATGTGAGCTTTACAACAGAGTTTAGGTAAAAAAAGTAAGTTTGAGAGTTTATTTAATTTTTCAAATTGGTATTTTGAAAGCCTTCCCTGGAATTTCTACCTCATCCTGCTGTGAATGTCCTTTCCTATCTGTACTATGAATTTAGTGGGAGTGTAGCAACAGCAAATATTAATCTTTGTTGTTCGTACTGGATTTACGTCTAAAGATAGGAACGCACAGTTTATGTGACATAAAAAGTATGCACAGCCTCTTAATCAAACATCATAAAGCATACGTTTTCAGTAGTACCCATTAAACCTGTTTGGTGTTGTCACAGCTCTAAAATCAATCCTTTTAAAAAAGAAAAACTTTTCTATGGACATAAGAATAAAACCACAGTTGAGGAGATAAAAGAGAAGTCGAAGTGGCTCAGTGCCCACCTTCCTGTCTCCTGGGGGCATGTGGTGGCAAAGAAAAGTGGTTAAACCTGAGTTTTGGTGAGCAGCCCATGGTTTCAACAGTCCTCCTTGATTACTTTTTGCACATACCTAGAAGTGTTCAGAGTTACCCAAGGAATAACTAAGGGACAGATACGGACTGTGTCTGGATTTTTCTAGCACATCAAGTGTTTCAGGTTTTGCTGTTGCTCCATGTATGCAGCATGGGGACATCTGGGGAGTTGATTCTGTCCCACCATAGCTTGTACCCACCTGTAAGAGAGAAGATGAGGGGCTGCGTGTGGCCAGGAGCCAGTAGCTAACATGTGAGTCGTGACGCCAAGGAATATTTCAACTTTCATCCTCAGGAAGTTAAATAAATGAAATTAAATCTAACCCCTAAATCCCTACTTAGCCAGAAATTAATGCTCTTTGACAATGTAAAGAAGAGAAGTAATAGTTCTGTCTAAATCATCCAGAGAAAGGTTGAAGGGGTGGATAAATATCCTGCTTTTGTATTTACAGTGTGCAAGGAGTCCCAGTGTTTAACACTGCACTCTCAGATGCAGATACGCACATATAAGCAGGGAAACTCACCCCATGGAAATGTCCCTTTGACACGTTTTGGTCAGTACCTGTAGTCTGGCCCCTTTGTTGAAGCTGTTGTGTCTCTGCTGTCCCCAGCCTGGCGGTGGCTGCCATCCCAGAGGGCCTTCCCATCGTGGTCACCGTCACGCTGGTGCTGGGCGTTCTCCGGATGGCCAAGAAAAGGGTGATTGTGAAGAAGCTGCCCATAGTAGAAACCTTAGGTAAGGCTGAAAAGGGATCACACAGCTTGGTCATTGGCCAGGCTTCAAAATCTGAACGAATAGCAGTGGGCTGGCCAAGTAAGCCTTGGTCAGATTAGAAAAAAAAATAAATTGGAATATGCTTAGTGGGCCAGAGCAACCCACTCACACTTAAATACATTTTCTACCCTGTGTTTCTCACACTTTGCCCTTATTTTAGTGATAATAACACAGGCAGGTGCTAGGAATGGTGCACCCAGGCCATGGCATTGACCCACGGGGAGCAGAGCCCCTCTCCAGACATGCATGTCCTGCTGGGGTTGGAAGGCTTTGTTTCCCCTTCCTCACCCCTCTGTGGAATCCTCCTGCAGGTCCATCCTGTCCACTTCTTCAGAGGCTGGCTAAAAATCTTGGCAGCCCCTTAAGCAGAGCCTGGTGGCGTAAATAAAACCACTTATCCTTCTGCAGCCTGTGTGGCCATCTGCCTGATATCCAAAGAGTCATGGAAAACAGGGACAAGAGTGGACCCTGAGAAGGCACCACCCAGCCCATCCTCACAACTGCAGGGCAGAACGATCTGTAACGAAATTATTCCTCCACCTCCTCTTACCTTCAAATTGGCCCTTATTCCCAGGTCACAGTATTCCAGGTTTTTCTGCTCTGACCTTGGCCAGTGTGGCAGTTATAAGAAGAGATATGTTGTATATTTAGTACCACTCATTAAAAAGTACACTAAATTCCAAGCCTGGCCCATGCAGTCGCAAATATCTACTGCACAACCGGATCCTTCAGCTAAAATCTGTCTTCCCTGGAAATGGTGCTATTGTTTGAATTGCCCTTGTTTGTTCTGCAGTTAAGGAATCTTATCACCCTTATTTTATTGTATCTACCCTGATCCAGGACATCTGAAACAGCTTTATCTCATGAAGAATGTCGTTCTGGTAGGGCTGCACCCAAATAGGTGTAACTGCCAGATTCCTGGGTACACTGCAAGATAGTCTAAGCACAGCAAAAACTGTACTCTCCCACACATTAATTGTGCCGTGTCTGTTCACTTCTGAAAAAATAACCCTTCTTCTTTATCTGATTCTTTAATAGGAACTAAAAATGATATATTGGAGGTGATAGCTTTGGTCCGTGCTAATCCTTCAAAACTGCAATTATTTTAATTGCAGCCCAATCTGCTTTATTCTCTCCAGGCTCTTACCTGATGGTCGTCATGCTCCTGAGGTCTGTGCCTAAGCAGTGTGGTCATTTCCAGAGCCAGGGAAGACAGGCAGACTTAGAAGGGAGCTGGAGCCTGATTCTTTTTTTTGCATTAAAGTCATTTTTCCCCTTCTCGGGAGTGGAAACTAGCCTGAATGTGGTGACTCTGCTAATTCACTCCTTTGCTGAATTGTGGTGTAAATGGGCTCTGGAAGAAATGTGCTTTACAGAAGCAGGATTGTCACAAAGCAGAGCACGAGTGGGGCAGCTTCTGCTCCTACCTGTAGATTTTCAAGGTTTTTTTGGTAACAGTCTCTAACACATCTACCCTCACAGTCCCTTGGTGAGGCAGGGAAGGGCTGTTATTCCTGATTTAGATAAGCAAGGGTTAAGTGGCCCATCTGAGGAAGCATGTGGCAGAGTGGGAATTTGATATGTCTTTTCAGAATAGAACAGCTGCTCTGCTGTGTGATGTCGCAGCTCAGCAGCATAGATCGACTCCCTGGAGATCAGTGCCTTCTCTGCCCACCATATGATTCTCAAGACAACGTGGCCCTCTTCAGATGTCTCCTACCACATCTCATATCTAAGTTATGTGCACAATACCCTGACGTGCACTCAGATCCTTTCCTTTCAACACCCTATTAGGAAACTTCTCCATTTCTTGGTATTTTCTCCCTTTTCTCACTGGTGGAGTTTGAGTAACATTGGGAAAACACGTTCTCCCTCTTCCAGAGCCCTGAATCTTGCTGTTCAGTTGCATTATTTATTAGTTCTGATTAAAAACTTTTCTGCATCAGGTTGCTGCAATGTCATCTGCTCAGATAAGACAGGCACTCTGACAGCCAACGAGATGACGGTGACTCGGCTTGTGACTTCGGATGGGTTCCAGGCAGAGGTATGGCTGCGGTGTAATACAGACTTTCCTGTTCAAGTTCAGTGGGGCTGATTTGCTTTTAGTTCAATTAGGCCCCAAATGAGGGATGTTGAATGAGTCCCAGAACAAGCAGTTTCTTGCACATTACCGGTTCCATTAAAGAGAAGGGACTTTTGCAATGCTGGAGACAGTCAGGGGTGGGGCTGAGTGTACAAAAGCTGCTCAGACACAATAAACAAAGATGTTCATTGACATAATCTGCAGTTCTCTGCAACTGTAAATATTGAAACCTGCCACTGACCCCTGTGGGTCCATCTTCTGTAGAAATGTATCTTATATGAGTGACTTGATCCTTCTGCTTTGTTCATTTACCTGTGTGCAAAGTGGGTGAAAAATGTAGGCATGCAAAATGTAAGGCAGTGGGGAGATAGGCTGGTCATCAGTAGGGCAGGGCTTGAACAAAACCAGTGAACCCACGGCTGCCAAAGGGCTGCAAGAGACTCCTGAAATCATGGCAAACAGGTTCTGTGTAAGACAAGCTGATTCTTTTTGTTCCTATACAAGCTATTGTAATATTATACATTCACTATCTGCAGCCTTTCCTATAAGCATTGCTTTGAGCTGGAGAGGAGAATCCCAGCGTGCCTTCAAATTCAAAAATTTGCTCAACTGGACCCCAACATATACAAATGTAGTATAGTCCTGCCTGGCAATGGGAAATTTGCTCTTTCTGTCTGCCCCTTCCTCAGGTCAGCGGGGTGGGCTACAATGGAGAAGGAAACGTTTATCTTCTGCCATCAAAGGAGATCCTTAAAGAATTTTCCAATGTCTCAGTTGGGAAACTAGTGGAGGTAAGTCTAAACTATGAACCAGCTTGACCGATTTACATTCAGTTTTCATTTGCACAGATCACTTTGGGTAATAAGTGTGAAAAAAAAGCCACTTTTGTAACTATTTTGAACTGTCTTGCTAGAGCATTCTCATGGAAAGGCTCTGAGTAATTGTGATCTAATACCTGAAGCTGATGGCTGAAAGGTAGTCATCATGAGACTTGTAAGGAGAGACCAGAGTCATCAGCTTAAAGTGTCAATGACATTCTGAATAAAAATACAGTTCTGGCAGAGGAGAGACCAATTAATTTTACCACGTTCAGGTTTTTAATGGGAACAGATTTTAGACTTTATCTACATAGTCAATTTATAAATGTACTGTGATGGTCTCTGGGTTTTGTGCTAGCATTAAATAAAATCTTGCACATTCGACTGTAGGCTAAAGCAGAGTGTTTGGGTAGTGAAATGATCTGAGCTGGAATCTCAAATGGAGATTAGGTCTTACTTCATCCATACTGCACATTAGAAACAATAGTAGGAGAGACTAAGATTTCATTTTTGTGATTTACCAAGCTTGTTAGACATATATTATGTTAATTTACCCCAAACACATTTTACCAAAATACAGGTGTATCCTATGGATTAAGTGGGTTTAGAAAGCACAAGAACTGACCTCAAGAGATGCTGCTATGGGGAATAGCACATCTTTTGGGATGTGGCTGCTTTCATTCTCCAATCTTTCATTATTTCGTTTAAAGAGATGGAAAAACTATTAATTTAGTTATGAAAAAACCCCAACATGTAAATATATCTCTTTCTCTAGGCTGGCTGTGTAGTCAATAATGCCATTATCAGGAAAAATAGTGTAATGGGACAGCCCACAGAAGGAGCTCTCATTGCCCTTGCAATGAAGGTAAGATTGTTCAGATTTAAAATGGTCCAGAAATTAAAAAATCCAAAAAAACCCAAACAAACAAAAAAGAACAAACCAAAAAACAAACAAACAAACAGCTGGAATTGTTAGTTCTTACAGCAGTGATCAGACTTCTTTAAAGTCCCCAGACTGGTTTTAGTCTTTCCTTGTCTTTTCTCCCCAAGGTCATAGATGTACACCTTTCCCATATAAACCTCTTTGTCATGGACAAACACCTTCCCTGAGCTTCTGTGCTAACAGTAATAATTGTTTTGCTTGGTTAATCTCTGCAATTATGCTGCATAATGGATTTCTTTCAGGCTCAGACTGGAGCACCTTTTTTCTGTTTTCTGCACATGCCGATTAAGAGTTCAGGAGTAAGACAGGAGAGTGAAAAATGAACAAGAACAAGCCAGACTAGGAGGCACGGCAGAGGGTCATCCTCGATTTGGGTCATCTGCTAGCTTTTACTTTTTTCTAGCCACGATTATGTAAAACAATATTTTTTCATAAATATTGCATTCATGAAAAAAATATGCAGAGGGCTGTGAAACACCTCAAGGTATCATCTAATCAGTGTTACACAGCCTGTGGTCCACAGGCCTCGGGTGGACGGTAAAGCACAGAACATGCCTGATGAAATGATGCACCTGCAAACGTCTGTTCTTACCACTTATGTTTAAAGCTTGTAACTCTAACAGTGAAACCATGATTTATTTTTTTTTTAAACAATGACATTTTATTTCCCTAAATGCTAAATTAAAATCTTCCTTCTGCTCTGCCATTCAGTAGCCAAGCAAGAGCAGAATAGGAGGGATGTTGTCTCGTTTATTTTATTTATTTATTTATTTATTTATTTATTAGTTTGATGGGAACTGGGGGAGAAAGAGACTGGAAGCTGTTTCTGATCACTACCACTTCACCTAGAGCACCCACACGTGCTGCTAAAGCAGGTGTGCGTTGATTTGCACTGTCGTACTTTATAGCTGAATGGTCATCTTGTGGTGAATTGGTTTTTGAGTTTAATTCATCAGGAATTAATTTGAAACCACATTCCATGATTGACCATTCAATTATTTGCAGTTTTCCTTTTTTCTTCCAAGTCAGGTGGCTGGGAAATAACCAAGTGGGGGAGCCTGAGCTTGGGCTGGAAGAAATCTGCTCTGCCCATTGCTGTGCCGTAGGTTTAGGGAAAGGACTTGATCTTCCTTCGACCCAAAGCCCAACCAGGACAGCAGTGCAGCTCCCCAGCTCTTGCAAAAGACAAGCTTCAAACTTTTGTGACATTTATACCATATCAGGCACCAAAAGGAGAAGATAGGTTTGAAATATGAGTTTACTCTCCCCATGCTTTCTCTTGAGCTCTGTGGTATATGACTGCCTGGAAGTACCTGATCAAGTCAGCGCTTGTAATATAGAAAATATATACAAGCTTTGGCATTATTCAGCATTACAGTGTTCTTTTTGTTTTATCTTACTTTAGATGCAACTCGCTGACATAAAAGATATTTATGTAAGAAAGAAGGAAATTCCATTTAGCTCTGAGCAGAAGTGGATGGCTGTGAAATGCACGCTGAAAACTCAGGTAAAGCAAACAGTGGTGTTGGCCGGTGTCGTGTTTCTAATTGTGCACCTCAACAATGGGCATGAAATGGTATCTCTTTAGCAAATAATGTTTTCAGAAGTTAACTATATCAGGAGAAAACGGCAAACCTCAAAATTCCCAACTTGGGTGTAATTTTAGCTTGTAAAACTGTGTTTGAATGGCAGAAGATAATACTTTTTTATATAGTGGTTTAAGCAGGAGAACAAAAGCTTTTCAGAGATGACTGACAGGGGGAGAAAGGTACAATGTTTGGAGGTAAATGTTGGCCATTTTTCCCTTATCAGGTTAAGGAGCTGATTTTGGCTGATACTGTGTACTCCCAATTTAAAAACTCACCAACCTTTTATTACCATTCTGTCTGTGGTGGCTGAACATGAAAAAGGCTAGTGCAAAAATATCACATCCTATAAATAATTCATGCACCTGCACATTTTACAAAATAGGTAAAAGAGCAAACAAAAGATCTTCATTACCTAGGGTGTAAAGCCTTAATGTGTTATCAGTATTTTCAAAATGTGCTCTTCTTTTTGATAAAGTGTATTATCTCCTTACTTTAAAGGACCAGGAAGATATTTACTTCATGAAAGGAGCATTTGAAGAAGTCATTCAATATTGCACCCTTTATAACAGTGGTGGCATCTCGTTACCACTTACACCCCAGCAGAAAGCCTTCTACCAGCAGGAAGAAAAACGAATGGGCTCCTCAGGTCTACGGGGTCAGTCATTGCTGTCTATGCCCCTTAAGCTTACAGGTTATCGTGCCCTAATACCTTCCTGCTCTGTTTTGGTTCGGATGGGCAGAAGCCCAGTCCCTAGCATCACTTGCATGACCTCTTCATAATGCCAGAGTTTGCCAAGGGCCATGTCTTGGGTCTGCTGGCTGCTTGCTTTTCACTAATCTTTTTTCTGTTGTTTAAATTAATGAGATTGGAAGGAGCTGAAAATAAGCACTGGAAATGGTGAATGTTTTTCTTCCATGAAGCGTTGTGATTGCCTGGGATACGGTCTGAATGTTGCATTGGAAAGCTTTGCACTGAACCCGATCTAAGCACTGCTCTGCCAAGTTTTGCTCTTGGAGAAGCTTATTTCAAGAGCAACAAAAATCAACTTTGAAAGAGGTTCAAAAGACAGATTTGGGAACCAAGATTTTTATTTGAAGTTTGGTTCAATTCTTTATTAGGACCAAATCTAATGATCTCCTTTTGATCCTGACTGCATGTCAGTGCACAGCCCACAGAAGTTTTTATACACGTGTCATTTCCTTCATCACTAGAAACATCCTTTCAGAAATGTCTTAGACTTTCACACAATAGCAAAGACACCATCTCCTGTGCATGTTCTCGGGTGGTAAGGAGATGAGAACAAGTCTTGGCAGCTGGGTCTGGAAGATGGTGTAGTTAATGTACATATTCTCCAGCCCTGTGTCTTGCGGTTAGTAACTCATGTACAGAGCTTGCTTTACAATATATGAATCATCTGCTGTTGTGAATGGCAAATTACTGCTCTGAAGAAGAGCGATTAGCTCAGGCAGCTGCTGCAAGTTTGTGATTCAGTCATCAAAGCAACACTGACATGAACCCCTGGCAAAATATCTTTGAGTGAGTTAAGAACGATTGAATGATATGGTTAGGCACCAAGAACAGAAACAAAATATTCAGAGTCTTGGTGTTTACAAGATGGAGGTTTCACTGGTTTAACTGAATTTACATTTCACATTTTTAGATTTAAAAAAAAAAAATGTTTATGTTTTTACACAGGAGTGCTATTGTTTAACGTAGTATTTAGTTTAGTAGTGTCTGGTCTAAAACTCTACTGTCCCAATTTAATCCATCTGCATTTAGGGGAGACTTGGTAGACAGCTTTAAATTAAAAATAAATAAATCCCAACAGAAACATGTGAAACAGAAATGCTCTGGTTCAGATAAACGTGTTATTTGAGTGGACCAAATTTTATATAAGATGTGAATATAATGACTAAAAATCTGGTTTTAATTACTTTTTCTGTGGGAAAACTGGAAATTTAATCTCATCTAAATGTCCATTTTAATGTATGGAAACACATTATTATTAATTTTGTCTTGTCTTCTTTTTCCCCTTTGTTTCTAGTTCTTGCTTTGGCCTCAGGTCCAGAACTTGGCAAACTCACATTTTTAGGTCTGGTTGGAATAATTGATCCCCCGAGGGCTGGAGTGAGAGAAGCTGTTCAAGTCCTTTTTGAGTCTGGTGTATCAGTAAAGATGATAACTGGAGATGCCCTGGAAACTGCTGTGGCTATAGGTAGCAAGAACTTCTTTTCTGTGGGTCTGTATTATGTCTGTCAGCTCAGTCAAATGTTACATCACTTAACAATCAACTTTATAATTATTTTTGTGTGTGCAATAGAGGTTTTAAATGCCACTGAGTTCTTGCTTTTTCCATTTAAACAAATCATATTAAGTGCAGCAATAGAGTAGCTATGAACTATGGGCCAAATTCCAGGAACTTAATTCCACTCTTTTTACACCAGAAATGGCAAAATCTCAGCGTAAGACCCTTAAATGAGACAGATGGCATTGCTGGGATTATAGAATCCACTAATGTTTGGAGTGTGAGTGTGTCTGCATTTCCCATTTTTGCATTCTGCTATTACTTACACAGAGCAAGCAGCAGGGAGGAGAGACAGATTCAGTATCAGCTCCAGTTCTGGGTATCCTATTGCTTCTGGGACTCCAGCTGAGTAGGGACAGGGTGAGCACCCAGCTCAGAGCCAGGGAGCTGTGTGCCCTGTTGGATGCCCTAGGTTCAGATATATTTCTCAGCAAATTCTTTACTGGCTGCCCTTGTTCTGTCAGTCAGGAAATAGTTGGGTTTTTCCAGAGCCGATGGGCAGATCTCATTTTGGACTTTTCTTTGCAGGACAGAATATTGGTCTCTGCAATGGGAAGCTGAAAGCCATGTCTGGGGAAGAGCTGGACCAATTGGCAGAGGCAGAGTTATCATCCACTGTCAAAAACGTAATGGTTTTGATTACAAAAACAAGGCCTATTTCCAGTAACATCCATCTAATTACAACGTTCTAATTTTTTGTTTGTTTTTCAGGTTTCCATTTTCTTCAGAACAAGTCCAAAGCATAAACTAAAAATCATAAAGGTACTAAGAGCCTCTCAAATCCATTTTATGCCTTACAAAAAAACAAGATGTAAGGGTGGGGCTCAGTTCTCTAGACCACCTGGTCTTCCAAGGCAGGATTAGCTCAAACTAAAGGACCATAAAACCCCAGCTAGAGCACTGGCACTATTTACACTGAAGGTATTGCCATTTCTCTTACAGATCTGGCCTGGGCCGTTTGAAAGACACTAGTGAGGTATTAACAAGCGTAATATCAGAAGAGTAATTTCTGAGGACTTTACTCCCCTCTTCTAACTCCTGCTGGAGTTGTGAGATTCTCCATACTCCTGAAAATCCAGTCTCTTAATTCTTGGTCTGAGTTTTGTCCTCAATGGGCTGCTGAGTCTGCTTTAGCCTCAAATCACATAGCACTTCTGCTCTTTCAATGTTACGTGCAAATCCTGTGATTGCCAGCAGGACTTACTTATCTTCTCCTGGCTTCAGAGCCTCTCATCTCTCCACTCTCCCAGGCTTTGCAGAAGGCTGGCGCCATCGTGTCAATGACAGGAGATGGTGTTAACGATGCCGTGGCCCTTAAATCTGCCGATATCGGGATTGCCATGGGACGAGCTGGTACAGACGTCAGCAAAGAGGCTGCCAACATGATTCTTGTCGACGATGACTTCTCAACAGTAATGTAGGTTTAGTGACTTTCTTACTATCAGACACTTTCTTACTTCAGATACTTTCTGGCTATCCGTTGCAACAAGCCTGTTGTGTGCCTTAGCCCTGGAAATGACCAAGACGCAGGACACGTAAGTCAACGGGCAGTAAGTGGAGATACCTGGTGTGGGTCTGGCTCATTTTCAGCTGCATACATGGCAATGACTTTTTTGTTTCAAGTGGTGGTGACAAAGCTACCTTTCATCCAAAAGCCCTGGATTTTCATTGCTATAGCTAACAAGGGATTTGAAAGCGCCTAGAAGTCTGGGTTAGATCATAACTTGTGCTCTCTGCCTCACCCAGGAAGCTCAGAGGAAAGACATTTGCAATGCTCTGTTGGTTCGTAACAACGGACAAAGGAGGCAGAATAGAGTGAGGATATAAATAGGTTACACACCTGCTTTATGAACCAAGACCTGGCCATTTGAACCAGGTTTCCAGATCTACTAGTTCTGATAAAGTAATTTTAACTGAGAAGCTGCATTGATGTCCTCCTCCTAAACGGGGATCTGAATTTCAACTGAAGTAAGTGCGAGAGAAGACAACTTGTATTTTGAGTGTCAACAGAAAGCTCAATATAAACTGGTTATTTAATATACTTTTCTCTCCCTTCCAGGAATGCAATAGAAGAGGGAAAGGGAATATTTTACAACATAAAAAATTTTGTCCGGTTCCAGTTGAGCACGTAAGTTCCCGTTTTCTTTGACTGCAAGGAAAGCACCTTTTGGGAGAGGCCATGCAGAATAATGTTCTTCTGTGCTTTGCAGGAGCATTTCAGCTTTGAGCCTAATTACTCTGTCAACAGTGCTCAACCTACCAAATCCACTCAATGCTATGCAGATCTTATGGATCAACATCATCATGGATGGGCCACCAGCCCAGAGGTATGGAAGGGTCAAATGAGCAAAATAGTCTTGGTTTTAACATCTGGATTTGGCTTAGAAACACAAGCTGTTACGATTTCTTATCAATGAGCCAATCATTTGGTGGTTAGATAAGACAAGTTGTACTTTTGTTCCCTCCTGGTCCCTCCAAAAGCATTTACTTCAGGTTGACTTGAGGTTTTAGGTTTCTGTTCGGTGGTGGAATCACTTAACAGCTATTCCACTTTTTGACTAGGAATGGTCTGTTATCCTGAGTGCATCACCTGATAGTAGCCCTGCAGGTCTGACTGGCAAGGGAATATTGGGTATGTATGAGGGTATATGCCCCAGAATCACATAACTTGGGAACCTCATCCAACTGCTAATTACAACTGCTTTAATTAGAATTACTACTTTCACAATGTGGAAGAGGTGTTGGCCACAATCTCACAGCTAGCTCTCCATCTGGGATGGGATACCATGGTAGTCTAATATATAATTTTCACAGCTCGTTATACAAAAAAGGCCTTTGTCATAGGTGTCACAGACAAATGTGGGGCCTGATGTAACCCTGCCAGAATACTGATCTCTCTCATGCCGTACTTCAAAGCACTTCATCCTCCAGATCCATCCTGTTTTATCAACACTGTTTTGGGACGATCTGCATTAGCTAAACATGTCCCTCTGCTTCCCTTTGAGGCAGCTTGGGAGTTGAACCTGTTGACAAGGATACTATCAAACAGCCACCCCGATGTATCACGGATACTATACTCAGCAAATCTTTGATCCTGAAAATCTTCATGTCAGCTATAATTATCATCAGTGGAACCCTCTTTGTCTTCTGGAAGGAGGTAAGGCAAATCTGCAATCGTATCTTGTTTTCATCAGGGTGGAGAACAAAGTGAAGGGCAATTTCTGAAGTACATGTGAAGGACTTTCTGAAATACATCCAGTGGGGAAGGATCAGTATGGGCAAAGGATTATGAAACCAGGGTCAGCTCCTAGCTCTGCTTCTGCCTTCCTGTGTTGCCTCAAATTTGGAGCTTCCTATCTAGAATGGGAAAACTATTACTTATTATGATATCAATACTTTAAGGTACCTTCCACCTCTAGACTTCCATGTAAGTAGAAAATACCAAGTACATTAGTACTATGGATTGCTGTTAGTAAATAGTGACTGTTACTACAACAGTTTAAGTAATTTAATTTAGAATATTATTTACTCAAATTCTACATCAGTTTAAGAATTTAAAACACCATTGATAAGTTCATAAACTCAACAATTAGCAGAGAGAAATTAATGCTATCTGTAATGGCTAGAACTAGTTTTATTCCTTTATTTACTATCCTTTGAACTGACTGGGGTCATTAAAGGAAATATTTAATTCATCTGTTCAACTGACATATTTTTGGAAGGCTTAACTGACCCCTGAATTTTAACTTGCGCTTTCAGAATCCCAAAAGTGGCATAACTCCTCGAACCACAACAATGACATTTACCTGTTTTGTGTTTTTTGACCTCTTCAACGCCCTGACGTGCCGCTCTCAGGTGAGATCGCTCTGTCAGCCAAACACTGACATAAACATTCAAATACTAGGATTTTGCATGGGAAGGGTTCTCTAATGTCATTTAAAACAGAATTATTTTTATCATCGTTATAAATAAAGTTATCCAGCACAGTCCAACTGCAACTATGCTTTCAACTACGTAGCTCTGCCTAAGTTTGCATTCATGTAACTTCAAAAAGGAATTTACATGCAAAGAAATGGTGTGACATTCAAGTACCAACAGGAGATTGGGAAGTGTTACATTTCTCTCTCTTTTTTTTTTTTTTTTTCCTTCTCTAGACAAAGCTGATATTTGAAATCGGCTTTTTTCGAAACCGCATGTTTCTGTATTCTGTGCTTGGGTCATTTTTGGGACAGCTGGCTGTTATATACATCCCTCCGTTACAAAAGATTTTCCAGACAGAGAATTTAGGAGTGCTAGGTAAGTTGCAAAATAAATAATGTTGTTTTTTCATTAAAGCTACTTTAAAAAGCAGGTAAGATGATTGCCAAATTGTTACGTGATAGCTCCCAACAGATTGCTGGTAGAGGAAATCAATCAACAGCTCCTACACCTATACATACACATAGCTATACACAAAGAGTAGTAGCATTTAACGATATTATCCCAGCCTAGGTTTGGAATTTTGATTTACTGTGCATTAATGCATGTAGATGGAGACATGCCAAAATTTTTCACGAGCTCTCTATGATACTTCTCTACATAAATCTATCTAGGATCATTATGCAGTCACTCCGTTTTGAACAAGCGGGGTGAACGTGTTCTAGCTGAAAGGCGACGCATATTTTACCATCTGAATCAGCCTAAACGCACGCTGCCACACGGCATGGTACTGCTGCTGCCTTAGGTATGTTTTTAGAAGCAGGGTTCAGTGATCCCAAATGATTAATGGAGAGATTTCCACCCATCAAATGGACTGCACCAGCTGTGGGTGTTCCTTGTCTACCACGGTCAATTGTACAGCTAGCAAAAGCATGGCTAGGCTGTACAGCTACGGAGCTACGCCCGCACAGACACCTCCTGCAGGAAGGCCCAGGTAACTGGGGGTTCCTGCCCGGCACACAGCCCAGCTGGTGGCTGTGCTCATCTCCACTCTGCTTCCTCTCGGCAGACCTGCTCTTTCTCACCGGACTGGCTTCCTCAGTTTTCATTGTCTCCGAGTTCGTCAAACTCTGTGAAAAACGCTGCTGCCAACCGAAGCACACAAAGGCGTGTCCTAAGTGAGGCAAACTTCCTCTAAAGATATACTTGGATCGGAGCTGTGATGCTGGATAATTCAAATGCACCGACACCACACATCCCTTCTGAAGACACTCGAGTGAATCTGTACCGACAGTCCTTCTCACACCAGTCTGTTCCCTCCACATGCTCCACCCAAGCTGTCTGAGCTGTCTACAGAAACCTCCGGAGCGGCTCCTGTTTTAAACCAAGATCAGGTATATTTTTATAACATTGATCCATATGTCAAGAATGCTATGATAGTCCCAGAAAAAATAACAGTTTCACACCTGTACAGAAAAATCTATTGTGCATAAACTGAAATTTTATTTATTTAAATCAAAATGATTTTTATTAATAAAATCTGCATTTTAAAATGTTACTGACAGGTATCTGAATGAGAGTCTTGATTTGACCCATCCTTTTATACTAAATTAGAAGAACTGGAAAAGACCTGTCTTCACTAGCACTTCCTTTCCTTATAGCCAATCTGTGTTTCTAGACTCCCAGATACGGAGCCACGATTCAGCAAGACTCGAGGAAACTGTGGCGGAGATGTCAAACAAAGAGTAGAGAGCTAAAGTGCCAACCCCTGGCTGTCAGCTTTTGCTGGACACTGCACTGGTATTTTTGTACCTGTGTGACTAACAGGACCAAAGCAGAAGTGATTCTATCTGGTGCACAGGAGTGGATGGATTTAATGGGGAAGGGACTCACTTTCACAGGCGCATGAGGACACAGATGACTCGTGTACACAGCAGGGATGTTCAGCTCTGCAGCTGGGATCAACAGCTGCATGAAAGTGACTGAGAGCTGGTTGGGTCATAGCTAAACCCACCGCTGACAAATGCTTGCTGGACAGTTTTAGATGCACAAACACAAAACACAGATTGCTTAATCGTTAGGTTCAGGAAAAAAAAAAATAATAAATGTTGAGTCTCCTCCAAGGCAATCTTTTATATTTAAAGAACAATTCTGAATAACCCCATCTGCTGGTTGGATCAGTAGTGTCCTAGGAAATAAGGCTTCGCTGATACATTTGCTCTAAGTGCCATAGTGTCAGTTTTCTTCTTGCCCCAGCTTAACACCTTCAGTTCAAAGTGAAGATGAATGCTCTCAGATACAGACTTGTCAAAACCCACAACTTCAGAGGTCAAAATGCTATGCTGATCCTCACAAGATGATGTTTAAACAGGATTACATTTTGGATTCAGAGTCTAAGAAGAACCAGCTATACTGATACTTATTTTAAATCAAAGAAAACCTGGCTACTGAAATATTTTCAGTGAAGAGTAGCTTTGCGTCATTCACCCTCCCCAGATATAGTCTGCAAAGGTGTCTGCTCACTATGTTTTTTTAAATCCTTGCAGTCCTAAGAGGAAAGTCTCTGCCTTGTAATAGAAGGAAAAGAAAGCCTATTGTCTATTTTATGTGTAACCACAGATATTGAACTATTTATCATTCCTGTATGCCATTCACTTCAAGTATTTAGTATGCTTAGTCAGAGCACAAGTGAAGAATACCTCTAAGACTTACAGTGGGAGTTTGAGAATGTTAAGACAAAAGCCAGCATCACCACACTTAGAGCATCATGTATAATACTTACTTGCTGTCTACACAGCACTCCCTACTTTGTACCATTAAAATTCTTATTAAAATATACAGAGAAGAAAATTATACAAAAGTATCAGTATAATTGTTTTAATGCTTACTTTTTTTTTTTTCCTATGTGTTACAAACTTGGGAGACTATCATCTGGTTTATTTAAGCAAACAGAAGATAAAAGGACATTAGTTCAGGCCTTTCACAGCATACTCCGTACTGGAACGGACAGTATATATGCCCAATCATTAGTGCAGGTAGCATACAAAATGCAGAGTTGAGTCCTAGGGTGTCTGGCTAGAGTGATTTCTTCATGCTCTCCTTTCAAGGCTAAATTCATATTGTTAAATAAAATTTTAAAAAACGGGATCTACATTAAGGCACAAGTGCAGATTATTCAGAATATTCAAACCTGGCTCCCTAATGAAAAACATCAGGTAGAAAAAAAATCAGACCACATACAACAAGATGCTAAGAGAAAAAATTTGAAGGAAAGCCAGAGGATCAGGAATCGCAGTAGTTTTATAGACTGTTACAACACATTCTTTTCTCTAAGCTGCACGGAAGATGAACTCATGCTAGGACAAAAGGGATTTGCTACAGTCCTTTTCTTTAGGAGGAAGACTGACAGTCATACATACAAATAACCAAACACAGTTTGCTGAGTTAGAAATTACAGTGCCTGGTAGAAATCAGAGTTATTTTTGACAAGTTAATTACATATAGAATTAGCAAGGTCAAACTAATAATTACTGATAGATGTGAACAGATTCAAGCAGAAAAAGCCCTGAGTATAAGAGACCTGACAAAACTGGTCTTGACTGGTGAACAGCCAACAAAACAGAGGAAAAACCCCAACCAACTCCTTACATTTCGACTGCAGGCATTTTTTTCCATACTACAGAAATGATTCATTATATGGAAATAAAGCATACAGCTGTCATCTTTAAACATGTTACAGACATAACCCTGATTTTTATTTTCTTTTTACAAGGTATCTGCAGATACTATTCCCAATTAACTGTGGATGCTTCTTACTTAATCCTTTTTAAAGCCTGATCTTTTACTCCACTCTCAAGGGAGGCTACTGAAGAAGACACCTTCCCCAGAGCATTTCTGCTGGAGGTATGGCCCATTCTTAGGATAAATATGGCTGAATGACTCCAACGGGTCTGTTCTACAAAGTTTAAAAAAGCAATAGGCAAATTTCTGCAAAAACATCTTAAATAAAATGCACTAAAGTGTAGTCAAGTATTACAAAACTGGATGCTACATATGTAGCATTCTGGACATCTTACAGCCCATATAGAGTCACTTGCTGAAAATCTGACTTGGAAAACCTGAAGTTTAATGCTTTAACTGGAGCAATGCAAATTAACAGCATCCTTCATATGGAATCACTTGGATTATTCTATGTTTACCAATGGAAGACATCATTACAATTTGCAAGCTTCACTAATTTTACTGCATGAAAATAAGTATGTTGAGGTATAAGAGCCTTAATCAGTGTCCTGAACAGTCTTTACATAAATACGCATCAATTCTCCAAGTCAGTAAGCCCTACTGTCAATAACTTCTTTTGGTTTTAATTCTGTATGCAGAGAGGATCTATCGGGAATGCTAGCAAATTCACAATCAGCTAGAACTTAGAGATGTCTAATGATTAAGTACCTGATTAATTTTTCTGTCCTTCCCAAACAAAACCTTTCAGGCAGGATATTGTATTGGACCTAAAGTACAAGGCTTAAGCTTCATCCAAGATAATTAGGTAAATGTAAGGAAAAAAAAAAAAAAAAGAGGAAAAAATATCCTGTCCAAGGAACATTAACACTCAGGAGAAAAAAAAAAAAAAGTTTTTCATTTTACTGTGATTCTTTAAATATCATCATCATCATCTTCATCCTCTTCAATGGGTTCTCGTAGACCTGCGCTCTGACGAGTTTTTCCAGCCATTTCTAATAAGGCCTGAGCCTCAGGATCTACATCCAGGATACTCTTCTTCCCTTTTGCCTTCAAACCAAAATAGAATATAGTCAATTTAAAATGTCATTATGAAAGAATCAGCATCAAGCTACAAGAGTCATACCCAAAAGTCCACAAGCAATCTGGTTTGCAAGCTTGACACAATGAAGCATACGTAATTTCCAAGTAAGGCATTTAAGATTCACTGGGATAAATCAAATGATTTTTACTGCTGCAGTTACACAAAATATTCATAAACTTTTCCTAAGGTGACAGTGAACTGCTTCAAGTTGATTTAGGTTACAAGCAGCCGAAACATCCTGGTTAACCTGAGCTCAGTTTGAAGTGCAGATGTGAACTTTTTTTTAAAAGAAGAGCTTCAAGTACATTTCAGCATCTTTCGTAAACAATTTGTTCTGTTTCTATTTAGACCTATGTGTCTAGTGAGCAGACAGGGCACATGAATTTAGTAAGAAAAGAAATAAAAATTAAAAAAAAAAAAATTAAAAAATCACCAAACTGTGCAGACCAGACAGTTCAATAAAAGAATAAATTACAGGGACAGAGGAGACTGGAAAGAGGCCTCCTACTCATTCCCAGAAATAAACCAAGTGCAGAAAAACTAGCATAAATCTGTTCACATAAATTTACTGTAAAACAATAGTAAGTTTAAAGTTACTGCTAAAGAAATCTTTGGAGTTTTCTTCCCGAACTATAGATTAGGCTCTACTTGTGAGCTTCCAGTGCTTTCTCTCTCTTTCACAAACACTGAGTTTTACTGACCCCCCTTCAAGGAGGTTCCTCCTGGAGACTATTCCTCAATATCAGAAAGGCCTTTTGAAATTCAGAATAAAGTACAGCCCTTCTGACTCTATCACCTCACGGCTCCTGATGTTTGTTCTTGTTGGCACCCTCAATAATGCCACTACATATGGCACCACAGGGCCAGGTAAAGTGGAGAGACAGTGTTTAATCAGAAAACTGCAGCTGTACAAGATTTTGCACTTGCATCTCTCATTCCCATCAGGACACAATTTCACAGGTTCACCTACCGCTGCAGGGAGGTCTCCCACTGCCCAAACTTCCATGGCATCCAGTGCAAAATCCTCTTTTGCTGACAGCTGGGGACTGCTGTAGGTGGTACATCGAGGTTTTGCTTTGCTGTGTCCCTTCCCATAGTCACTGTCCAGCCAGAGGCCGAAGTACCCATGTTGTCCACCCATACCCTGTGAACCAAAGCACCACACTGAACACTTGCTGCGCATGTAAAGCAGACTGGGCAAGGTATGAAACCCAGAGTATAATTTGTAATTTGCAGTATTTATGCCACGCTTCCACAGGTAGGTGAAAAAGGGTATTCTGAGTGAACCTGGGCTTCTGTACCAACATCCAGTATTCCTGAAAACAAACACAGATTTACCTGAGTGATACTGCCCTCCCTCTACACTTTACAGAATGCCAGTATCTGCGAGCACTTCAGCTGCATCTCGTGCCAGAAACTTAGCTCACTGGCTTTTGTTTACTGATGAACAGTTCCATTTTAAACAGGGTGGAAGCACTCGGCTTTGCTGCCTCTTTTCCATTTAGAAAAGTATCTACACAAACAAATAATATAATTTAATGATGTTTGCTTTCTTTTAAGCAAATCTACCCCAGACTGCTGCAATTCCCAAAGTTATGGGCACGTAATGCCGCAAAACTGTAAGGCACTTTTCAAAATAGGCAATGTGTTGGAGCTCTGTAGAAACTCTTCTGCATCTGGAGAACTCATTCGTGGACTTGAGTAAAAGGAGCTTCTGCCACTGTGATTACACAAATGCACCAGCCAACGTGCAGTTCTTGTACTCTAATTCTGTTGGGCTTTCTCAGCCTTCCATAATTTAAAAAGCAGTTAGTGTGGCAGTGAGAACAACCAGTTACACAGATCAGCTAGCTTCTGCTGCTTCAGTCACGTGGATACATGCAGTCAATTCTTCCAGACAACAGGAGGACTGCTAGAAGGGCCTGTGTGATAACCAAACTTGGCAAAAAGATTTCTCCCCAGAACCTCCATAAATCTAACCTAACCTACATAAAGCCCACCTACTTGGGTCGGCCACAAATAAATTCCATCGTAGTTGATTCAGTACTTCAATATGCATATCAACTGTAAAGACAAGTATAGACTCTTATCAGTACTGTAAGCAGTTCTCCATCATTATCCATAGTTCACACTTTACACTGATGCTTTAGTGCAAAAAAGAAAAAAAAAAATCCTCCTACTAAAAGCGTGGCACAAATAGCACAGAGAAGGGATGAAAACTTCCTCAGAGAATAAGTGAAATACATCTGCTCACAGTAAAAGAAGTGAAAAACATGAAACACTTCCGAACACGAGCCACTAATCCCATTTCCAAATTTAATTTCTTAATACTTACAAGTCCATTTGGCATTGTTTGTTGGCCATGGTTCAAATACATGTAGTGGTCATTATACCCCGTGTATGTGTATACAGCAAGAGAGGGGAAAACAGAAAACAGAAAGCATCTGTTGTCACCTGTAAACAGAAAAGCATCTGAGGTCAGACAACTGGCCAAGCAGTGACTTGCCTACAAATAGGATAGGAAAAAAATATTGAAGAAGTGCAGCTAAATAAAACAAAACCAGCAGCTGCAATCTCAGAAAGCCAATACCTATCTCTCATCAAGATCTAGACCTACTGTTTATTTTCAGTTATTCTGTGCAGGGTCAAGAAATCAATGTGATTATACGGCTGTGACCAAGGGCAGAGTCAGAGGCATGACTAGTACATTACATTACTATGTAAGGGTACACCTATCACGGGCTTGCATTGTATCATCTAAAACTGGCCAGCCACTACACTGGTACAAACTGACAGGAGTGCAAACAGCCTTAGTTCTGACTATGCTGATGTACAGATCAGTTTAGGATCGATGATTTAGAGTACAATTTTCATTAAGCCCAGTCTGGCATTCAGAGGGACGTGTGGTGTGATTGTCTAGTATGCTACATGTGCTATTCTAGGAGGGAAAAAATACAAGGAAAGTGTTGTGAAATCAATATAGCATAACATTACGTTAACTGATGTGGTAATTATCACATACTAATTAAATATAGGAACTGTGTTTTTAATGCAGCTAAAGTGAGGATTCCCAGAAGGATGAATGATCCAGAGTCTGTAATTTTTTTTCAGAAAGACATTACAGAAGTTCTTTCCAAAGAGTTACAAAAAACCCCTCTCTTCTACGCAGAGGTTTCAAGGGAACTAAAAGTTCAGCTTGCCCAAAGGACTCTTGCTGCTGGATTTTAAAAGGAATACAAAGACAGCGTGCACAAATGCCAACAGGGGGCATCAACCCAGTGTTTGGCTCAGCTGTTCTGAGATGGAAGATTGCCATCTGCTGGACACCTTATTTAAACGCTAATCCATCCTCTATGCTCTATTCGTTTTCATTTCATTTTCAACCTATGCAGATACAGGGGTTGATAGATTTCACTGAAAAGAAAACTTGTTCCCGGATCAGTAAGGCCTGCAATTATAAGCCTTATCAAATAACAGGGAAACTATAAACATTAATTGGTAATATGCCTGTCTGGGTACAAAGCAGGAATAACTTAGCATGTATTTTATATTTTCCAAAGATTATTGTTATTTTTGACACAGGAAAACACGCTTGGAAGTATAAGAAATACTGTGTGTCATGAAAGTAAAGTGACACTATCCATTAAGTGAACAGGATTCTTGTACCTGTACAGAATAGGCAACGTTTACCTGAGCCATGAGATACCAGAAACTGAAAAGTGATTTTTACCTTGAAACTGTGGCTTCACCTCCCAGGAGTGAGACGCAAACCCACCAAAGATATAACCATCTAAGTCCTGTAAGATCACTATGCAAGGACCCTTGTTCACTATATGCCCACACAACTGTGAAAAGCTTTCTCCGTGAAGCCTGGAAGAAAATAAAAGCTGCCACTTGTGCTGTAGTTCTGCAGGCAGATGGGAGTTGATGTATATGATGGATGGGATATCAAAGAGACTGACAAGTCCTCTTCTCTTGATGCCTTTGCAGCCTGGAACCAGGTTGAGTATGTCTTTGGTTTGGTCTGGGAGAGAATGCAGGACATGGAGGCCTTGCCTGATAACAACACTGAGGAAAATTGAGATCTGTGGAACTCGGTACACCCAATCCTCAATGACACTTTGATCAAAATTTGTCTCCATCATCTGAGGACCCACAGGCTTTGTCCCATCTAAATAATAAGAGACACAGGAACAGCAGTAAGACTCCCAGTCTGGAAAATAATCAGTTGATTTTTAAGTGCAAACACAGTATTCCACTATTTTAATGGACATACAGTCATAAATAGATGCACATACATCTAAATGCCTGCCACCTGCGAGTCAGGTATGTAAAACAGACATGTTCCATGACAAATAGTTTTGCACGTCCACTTAAACTTGGACCTCAAATCAAAGCTCTCCTGAATTTAGAGGAGAAAGACAGTAAGGTAAAACAAAATTCCTAAGTCTAGAGTTGAAATACTGGTCTCATCATTTAAATTCAAAGATGTGACCTGAAAACTTCTTGGGAGATCAGTGACTACATGAGCTCTGTGCCATCCTGGGCTATACTACATCGGTGCTGCTCACCTGCAAGCTTCAATTCTGATAGCAGCTGAGAAGCCAGAGCCTTTACTCCACTTGCAGAATCCCTAGTGTTCTCCAAACTCCAACCTTTCAGTTCCTTCCTGTAGCTCAGCACATGGACTACAGACATGATCAGATCCTCTGTGAACTTAAAAGGTTAAAACATCACCATTTTGGCATTTCTTAAAAAAATTGCCAAGAGCATCAAAGGACTTTCTGAAAATAAAGTCAAGTAGTACTGATGCTGTAATCCCAATGGCAGAATCATCTCTTCTTCTGATGAGTCAAGAAATGAAGGAAATGCTATTTCAGTGTCATAGGTCTTGAAAGACATTTTGTATGTGTTACTACACAAAGCATCTCCATAAAATATGCATTGAAAGAGGGAGAGGAGGTCCAAATTTTGCAGTGGTGGGAGCTGCTAGTGACTTGCTGTTTTGTGAGATCCCATTCTTCCACCTTTCAAGCTACGTATTTGATTCACACATCTATTCTGCAACTAAGGCTCTAGAAAGCATTTTGCTCAGTTCCCAGAAGCACCAGCCACACCACAACCCTTGCTGGCTCTTAAATACAGCCAGTCTCTGCATTCTGCAGCGTGAGCCTGTGAACCATCAGACAAAACAACCAGTGCAAAATCCAGATCCTGGCTCTCAAAGTACACAAGTCAGTGTGGAAAGGCTGCACCTGAAGCAGTCACCTACACTGTTTGTCCCAAAGCAGCAAGTTAGAGGTAAAGAGATTTTAAAAAACTACAAAAATCAGGAATCCCTGTTCTGAATCTTGTGCTCTAAGACTACCTTCAATTACCTACCCCAACATACATTTAACTGTCTGTTTACCTCTTGGATTTGTTTGCCCTTCACAGGCCCTTCTGCCTTGGAGATCATTCTCATTATTATGGTAATCTTCTCATCTGCATTCCCTTTTAAAAGGTTTGACATAAAAATTACAAACTGCTCCTTAGCAATCTGTTCACTCAGCCCAGATGACTTCCCAGTCAGGTCAATACTTTTCATTCCGTTGTATAACCGAACAGTCATCTGCTCTGGTAACGGCTCCCGCATATACGCCTACAATGAGGAAAATAGCAAAGAACATATTTTACACATGAAGAATAACTGATATATTCCAGCTAATCTGTGCTGAGATATACCACTATGAATGAATTATTTCAATACCAAGTATCTACTAGCAGCAACAAAATTTTATCAAAGATTTTTTCCAAGAGGAAAAAAAAAAAATTTTTTTTAATCTCAGATTTTATAGTATCTCCTTTCCAATATTATTTAATGATTTAAGTTGATACTGGCTTTCTACAAATGCCATGGACTTTAAAAAACTAACACTATAGTGTTAACAGTATATTAGCAAAAGATTTCTATATAACTGTTGTAAAGGTTTACAGCTCTGCCAATCCAACATTTAAAATTGTGGTTTAACTCTGCTTTCGATAGTGACACTTAAAACCAGAGAGAAAGTAAAATTTTTCCATATTTCAGTTTTGGTCTCAAGACAATGCAGACGCTGTGTTTAACCCTATGTGCACACGTAGAAACAATTCTGAGTTTTCCTCTAGGTAGCAACATCTAATTCAAGCATGGAACAAATTTGAGATCACCTGATTTTTAGAAGGCACCCCTGATGTTAAGACAGTCAAAAATCAAAACTTATTCATCTAAATCACATGAATTGCATTTGAATTGAAATCTAACTGCTACACATCATCTTACATCACAACACAGTGGGAAAGATGTGACTTGGGATTCAAGAAACTTTCACAGATTCAAGATAATTACAAGGTTTAAAAATAAATCATCAAAAATACAGCCATACGCTAGGACATGATTACACAGTGTCTTCACTGCGCAAAGCGCTGTGCCTAACACGCTGAACCCCTGACTTGACTCATCTAGAGGGGTGTAGCCCAGTGGGCACTATGCTGCAATCACTGGAGCTCCACCTGCGTAAAAGCACTCCAGCTCTACTCAGTGGAGCTGCTATTACCAAGCTCTTGCTGGTTCAACACCACTCCTACCCAAGCCAGCAGGGCTGTTCCCATTTGCTGGTAATGGCTGTTGCTGTGTATACAGGGTGAGATCCAATATGCCAAGCTCTACCCTGCTTTTGCTGACGTCAGTGGTAAAACTCCCATTGATTTCAGCAGAAGCAGAACTCGCAGCCGCAGCCGTGCACATTAGTGCTTCATATTGAAGGAGCGATGGTCACAGGGTTACAGCTCTCTTTAAGAGGCTTTCTAAAAGTATTACATAAGCCTGAAGTGAGACAAGCAGCAGGGAACATAATTAAAAACACTACACTCAAGGGCTTTTTACTTCACACTGCATTATTAACTACCTACTCCCTACCCTTTCCCACCTACCACTACCTTTGTTGCTCTGTTTTGTTACATTTATAGATTTTCCAATGAGTAGAACTGGGGTGCAAGAAAGAACTGTAAAAAGGAAATCTTTAATAAACATCTAGCAAACTCACACCTCTGACAGTTTAGAATCCTTGACTTAAATGGTTTCAAGAAAGTATCTAGAGATACCTGCTCTACCTGCTTTCCAAGCTATGCAGTGCAGCCAGCCTGCTCTGGTCCAGAAGGCACGTAGTTTCCTTCTAGTAAAGTACTGAGCTCAAGCAGAGTACATGAGGTTACGCGTGGGGCCTTGGCAAAGTTACCAGACTGTTGCCAGATCAAATCTGCTGCATATCAATCTAGTTCAGGCATGAGCAGACTCCTCCAAGGCAGGCCCAGCATTGCAATAGTCCCTGCACTAAGGAATCCAGCACCTACTGGCAACCTTTCAAAAGATTTTAAGCTGGCAAACAAAAGGCAGGAAGGGAAAAGACAAACAGTCATCAAACATCACATTGATCCAGGGGCAAAGCTAGGAAGAGAACTTCCAGGTCCCAGTCATGTAACAAGACACCAAAGGACCAGGTTTGTGGATGTATTAGGGCTGGGGGGGGCGTGATCCTGGCTGGACACCAGGTGCCCACTCTATCACTCCCCTCCTCAGCTGCACAGGAGAGGGAAAATATAAAAAGGCTCGTGGGTCGAGATAAGGGTAGGGAGAGATCATTCACCAATTACTGTCATGAGCAAACCAGACTCAACTTGGAGAAAACTATTACCAATCAAATCAGAGTAGGGTAATGAGAAATAAAACCAAATCTTTAAAAACCACCTTCCCCCCACCTCTCACTCCTTTCTGGGCTCAACTTCACTCATGATTATTCTCTCCCTCCTGCCCTCCAGCAGCACAGGGGGATAGGGGTTGTGGCCAGTTCATCCCCCATTGTCTCTGCTGCTCCTTCCTCCTCAAGGTGAGGACTCCTCACACTCCTCCCCTGCCCCAGCGTGGGTCCCTCCCGTGGGCTGCAGCCCTTCAGGCACAGGCTGCTCCAGCGTGGGTCCCCCGCGGGGTCACAAGTCCTGCCAGGAGCCTGCTCCAGCGTGGGCTCCTCTCTCCACGGGGTCACAGCCTCCTTCGGGCATCCCTGTGCTCCGGCGCGGGGTCCCCCGCGGGCTGCAGGTGGGATCTGCTCCCCCGTGGGCCTCCATGGGTGCAGGGCACAGCTGCCTCACCAGGGGCTGCACCACGGGCTGCAGGGGAATCTGTGCTTCAGCGCCCGGAGCACCTCCTGCCCCTCTTCTTCACCAGCCCTTGTGTCTGCAGAGTTGTTTCTCTCACACGTTCTCACTCCTCTCTCCTGTCTGCAGTTGTGCAGGTTTTTTTCTCCTCCTTAAATACATTTTCCCAGAGGCGCTACCAGCATCGCTGATGGGCTCAGCTTGGCCAGTGGTGGGTCCATCCAGGAGCTGGCTGGCCTTGGCTCTGTTGGACATGGGGGAAGCTTCCAGCAGCTTCTCACAGAAGTCACCACTGCAGCCCCCCACAACAAAAACCTGGCCACACAAACCCAGTACAGGCTGAAAAGCTGGGCAGCAGCAACGCTGTTTCCAAACAGGTGACAGCTCATAAACAGCCAGGCTGGAGGAAGGCTGAAGATGGTCTGTATGAAGATGTGTTGCTAAATACGTTAAAATAATCTGCTCCTTTCATCGAGTTTTAATTTGATTCCATTAACTGTGTAACATATATAAAAATGCACTTTAACACTACATTCATTTGGCCACTTGGTTCCTGCCTAACTGAAGTTATCAAGTATTGCAACGAATCATTTTCCTCTTCTTTCTTGATTAGAAAATGAATGCAAAGTTAATCAGAAAGCATAATGTATGTTAATTAGCTAAAACAGGGAGCCACAGCTTAATCAAGCAAAATTGAATTCTCTCCTTTTAATTCAAGTGAAAAGATTACAGATGTGATGCAACTGAGGGAGAAAGATATAACCAAATACAAACTGACTTTCTGACAGCTTCTCAAGAAATCTGTACATAATCACGCGCTATAGACTCCAGGGGGAAGAATATTCTTCCTATTTTTCAGGTTTCTGTAAAAATATTTATGTATGTCCCAACTTACTTCAGAATCAGGAAAGCTGCAGATTGACCCAACAGTGCAATTTTAGAGATAAATACAAACCTGAAAGTCACTACTCATGTTAAACTGTAAGAAAAAGTTAAATATCCATCCTGCCCCAGAACACCAAGAATTAAATTGATACGAGCAATCCTTAACAAGTAACTACTGCCACATCTTTAGTTTCTTTCTGGAATTAGGTTCAATGCACTACATCCCAGATATATCAGGAATAATAGATTGTCTTGCCTGTAGTGCTGCCAGAGTCACAGTTTTCTTTGTAGCTTTGCCATTTTTCGCTCCAGCTGAGCCACTCAGCCCTGATAAAGTATCAAATACTCCATCAATGTCAGACTGCTCCTCAGGGAGAAATCTGGAAAGGTGATTCCGATAGGCATTACTTTCTGCATTTCCCATCTTTTCAATCTGAAACAAAGCAATAATAAAAAAGAAACAGTAAACACAGAAAGGTATCACAATGGCCATGAAAGACATATCCAACATACTAACATACCAGCGCAAGCTTTACAAGAGGAGCAAATTCTTAGCCTTCTAGGAAACTGTTATTAAAACCACTGTTTAGTCTCTGTAGTCACTGGGACCTAATGAATTTGAAGAACATCTGTGAAGAGTAACTGTGCTGTAAACAATGACAATCTGTCAGCTCTTTGCTAAGACCACCCTGTCTACCAATCCAAACCTCACCCAAGTCTTAACAAATGGAAAAACCAATACGATTTAATGATTAAATTAGCCTGTACAAAGTGACCATGAGTCTGTCAGCTGGAATACATCAATAACATGAAGGGAATAGCCTGATTATGGATTACTTACGACAGATTATGAATCTTTCTAATGCATTAATGGACTGAAGCTATGTCTGACAGTAATATGTAGCACTAAAACAGCATCACTGTAAATGTCATCTCTGAAGATTTTTTTTCTAAGAACGCAATACAAAAATCATTCAAAAAGCCAAGAAACACAGTAACAAAAACATCTGGGAAGACAACTCTAGACCTATCAAAACCCCATGGCTTCATATGAAGTCAGTAAATTGTTGAGAGCTGGTACCCACAGAATTAAGGTTGGCAGGGGCAGGGTTTGGTTTGGGGTATATTTGTTTGTTTGGTTTACACATTTAATGATACAACTATCGTTTCTCTCACTGTCCCCAGGAACCCCCTGCATTACAGAGACTAATTTTATTAGTGTTGTCTGGGCCACATGCTCCGGCTTTCTGCCTGGAGCAGCACGACACAGACCTACCAGTGCCCCAGCAGGGCCTGAAATCCCAAATCCCACCATGACCCCAGTGACAGTCACCACTGCGAATGTCTGGTGTGGACACACTCGTGGGGCGACAACATAAAAAAGATGAGAAGCAAAACTGTGGCTTGCTTTCCGCAAATTCCGCATCTTTTCTGGCACCTCACTGTTGGGATTCCCAGCTCTGCTGACACCTCTCTTTGCAGACAAGCCTGTCAGACAGCCCTTCCCTGGCCGCAGAAGGACTCTGTTTAGCCTAATACAATCTTTCTGTTGTTAACTCATGCTGGCTTTGATAAAAAACTGTACATCAGAGGCCGGGCAGGGCCTCTGCACCTTCCCTGAACAGTACAGGCCTACAAGCCTCGTTTGCCTGGGAGGAAAATCTCGATCGTGGGGTAAACGCCAGAGGGTTAATGGAAACGACTGTGACCGGGAAGACAAACCGTGAGGACGCTGTAATTTAAGCGCAGGAGGAAGGGGACCCTCGGCCCCTCTCCCTCAGCCCGGGGAAGCACAGGCCGGGGTGTGGGGGGGGTTCCCGCCGTGACAGAGCCGGACAAGAGGCTTCGCTGTTTGCCCTTCGGCCGGTTTATTTCCCGGTAGGGTTAATCCACCCCTCCCCACCCGGCCGGCGAGAGTCCTGGCGTGTCCCCCCGCCCCACCCCGGCGAGAGGCAGAGCCTGAGGCGACAGCCGCCCCCCCCGCCCCGGTGCGGGGCGGCGCAGCGGGCCCACCTCTCTGCTTACCGGCAGGGCACCGGCAGGGCACCGGCAGGGCCCCTGGATCGGCCCCCGGACTT